GGTGTGGCTCAGTGGATAGAGTGTGGGCCTGCGAACCAGAGGATCGAGGTTCGGTTCCCAGTCAGGGCACATGCCTGGGTTGCAGACTGCTCCCCTGAAGGCCAGTTTCCAGCAGGGGACGCACGAAAGGCAACCATAGATTGATGTTTCTCTCCCTCTCTCCTCCCCCTCTATAAACAAACAAACAAACAAATAAATAAACAAATAAAATCTTTTAAAAAAATAAATAAAATAAATTTTATTATTGAAACACAATCCAGTAAAAACCACACTGAAACAGAATCTACTAAATACAACAGCATGAGACATATTAAAAACATCTATGCTTTCAGTTTAACCTTATCATAAACTTTCACACTGTGTATCTTATTTCAATAATTGTGTCTTTGGGTCCTGAGCAGTATTTTATGACCATATTCTGAAGGTATTCACTGTGAAAAGAATGCAATTGTTTCTTTCCACTTGTGTTCCATGTATATTTCAGCCATTTTTGTCTTGGCAAGAAGCAAACTATTTTCTCAATTGTATGTTGCTTTTTGACTTTCATTTTTAAAAGAAAGTTCAGAAGCTTTTTAGCATTTATAATTGGTGAGTTCTCTTTAAAGTATCAGCTTGAATAGTACTTTAGTTTAATGTCCTGGAAATACTGTTGAGTTTTATCTTCCTGTTTGGATGTCTAGTTTTTAAATGGCTAGCTAATTGTGATCAGTTCAGAATACTGTTATCTATTAACCATAATACACAGAGTGAAGTCAATGTTAGCAAAAGTAGATGTAAATTCATACTTAAACCAGTGTTCTTGATAGTTTCAATTTTGGCCAACATATTGTCAGATCTGACCAGTCATTAGTTTTTCACCTTTCAATGTAGCTCCCAAAGGGTGTCAGAAAGGTCAGCTTATGTCTGTTGCCCATTATGGCATTATTAACACTGTCGCCCCTGCTCCACGCCGAAACAGTTAGTTTACTTAAATGCCATCCACAAATCCACTTAGATAAAGTGCAACATGTGGCAATATGTTCAAAGTGAACTAAGGGGAGAGCCTTCTCCTCCCCGGGCCTGCACTGTGCTCCCACCCACTCCCAAGAACACCAGGTGCTTGCCTTCCTACTGGCCAAGTGGGGATGCCAGTGCCAATCCTCATGTTAAACATTAGTAAAGCTTACTTCCTTTCTTTCTTTTTGGTAAAAAAAAAAAAAAGTATGCTTTTAAATAGAATTCAAATATCTCATTCTGGAATTTCAGGGGTTATCACCTACACATCTTTCTGGAGACCCATGCTCTAGATAAGTAGTCTTAAAATAACGTCAGAAAGCCCTCTTTTAATGAAAGTGAACACGAAACTCTAACATTTAAAAAGCAGATGGCAATAAGCTGCTGTGACTGACTGAGATGGGAGGAGGAGGGGCTCAGCCCTCTCTGCTAGGCATTTCCCCACCACCTCTTTAGGTAGACTTGAAGATTCTCTGTGGAAACCTAGTTTCCTTGAAACACAGTTGGAAAAATCTTATGCCAGGCCCAGCTCCTCAGACCTGCCCTTACTGACACTTGGTTCCTCTTTAGACATTAAGGACCAGCATGTTTTTAAAGGCTGACACATTAGTACTCACAACATGGGGACCAATAATAGCTCACGGAGTTACTGCCCATGTACCTTACACTCAAATATGGCTACACTTTGTCTGAGGATAAGAACATTAAAAATGAATATAAAGTGATGGCCCTTCAGCTAAGAAAATATGAAAACATGTTGTCTGGCCTGGAGGTACTTCCTTGTATGTTCCCCAGTGACCTTGAGGTTAGAGAACATATATGATAATACAATTTGTTACACCCTGGTTAAAAAAATAACAATGCTACAAATGAAGCAAACTATAAACGTATAAATCAAATAAAAACTAAATAAAAGGAAATAATTATAAAAATGTCTCAAGGTAATTATGAAAAATCATTAAGATATCAGGAAATGGACGGTCTGTGATAACTGTATTAACAAGATAAGTAACACTAACTGCTGTAAAAACTGACTTCAAAATGTCTGGCTTAACCCAGTGAAGATCTGTTTTCTCATTCATATCACAGTGCAAGGCATGCTATGAGAAAACTATGCTGTATCTAACTCATTTAGGGACCCAGGCTTCCACACTGTGGACCAACACATTGAAGCACATGGTGTCAAGGCTGGCCTGGTTTCATCCAGTTGGTAGATGGAAAGATAAAAGAGAGTAGAGAAGGCATGCCTTCTCTTAACTGCAGGGATTATATTCCTCTGATAGGAACTAATCATACGGCCCTACCTTTGTGCAAACACTTTGGTACATACAGCTGAGCTATGGGTCCTGGAAGAGAAACCGGTTTTGGTCAGCATCTAGCAAGGCTTCACCACATAAACAGGGCTTGGTATAGGGTTTCCCAATGTATAACATGAATATCACTAGGTCTGCTTTTGGAAGTCTCTTGGAAAGTCTCTATCACTCTCTTTTCAACCTGCTGTAATAAAGGAATCTGCTTGCCTGCACTAATTTCAGCTCTTGTTCCCAGAACAAGCCATGATGTTCCATGTCTCTACACTTTTGCATGTGATTTGCGTATGTCTGTCCATTCTTTCCACTACTACTTCCCTTCCAACCTCCTCTTCCTCCAAATCTAGCAAGCTCCTTTTCATCTATTAAGACCTAAAATGATGCTTACTTTCTCTGTGAACTTTCTCTGTGTATGAAGATACACAGATCTCTGTTTAATGTTTGCTAGACCTTACCATTGTAGTTTGTACCTACCTCTATTACCAGGTCATTAGCCTGTACTATAATTATTTAAGGAACCAGTATGTTTTCAAAAGAATCAGACACATTAATATGCACAGTATAGTGACCATTAGTAGTAGACTTAGCTTCTCAAGGCTAAGGACTGAGTCTCATGTATCTTAGTATCTCCCATGCCTACTCAGCACAGGTCTGGCTCACTCAATCATTGAGGGCAAAAATGCATCCTGCCTCCATTTTTGCCACTTCCTAGTCAGTCTGTCTGTCTCCCTCTCTCTCTGTGGAGTGGCGATAAAACACATGTAATTTACCACATTCACCATTTTTTAACTGTACATTACAGTAATGTTAACTAATGCCCCTTGTTTGCAACAGATCTCTACAATTTTTTTCATCTTGCAAAACTGAAATGATACTCATTAAACTCCCCATTTCCCCCTCTCTCCAGCCCTTGGTAACCATCATTCTACTTTCTGTTTCTAAGAATGTGACTACCTTAGCTACCTCATATAAGTGGAAAATTTTAGCATTTGGTATTTGATGACTGGCTAATTTCACTTAGTAAAATGATTTAAACATCCATTCATGTTGTAACATACAATAGGATTTCCTTCTCTATTTTTGAGGCTGAATAATATTTCATTGTATGTATATACCACATTTTATTTATCCATTCATCCCTTATGTGTCTTTGATTTTGACCTGTGGTCACTGGGGAGGACTACGAGAACATATATTTTCCATTGACCCAAAAGAAAAGTTAATTGTACTTATCTATTTCAGGATGGCTTGGGTTCTAGAGACTAAAAGATAAATTATACTGAGTACAAAGGGAAAGTAGATTTTTTTAAAAGAATGATTTTACCAAAAAAAATGCCTATCATACCCTATTTGAACATAAAAAACTATTACACAAATTTCATCTGAGGAACAAGGGCCCATAATAAAAAGCTGCTCGCATTCAGAAGGCCTCTTACCCCAGTCTTTTCACCGCCCTCCTCAGTACCTCCTGTTTCATGCCCTCAAAATAGCTCTGCTGAGAAAAGCAGCAGCAAAATTTTAAAGTAGGGCAAAATAAATGAATAAAGGGATAAACAAGAACTCGGTCCACAGAGCACTTGTGAGAATTCTCATGTTTATGCAGAAGCTGAGTAACCTCTGGTCCTTTTTGATATTAGTAGGTTCCAGCATTCATTTGCACTGAGCTAGTTTGAGTCCATTTAGAGACATTCATAACATTGATGGAATCTAAAGTATCTTTGCATTAGCATGAACTTTATTTCTGCAGTTGGTCTGAGGGGCTCTTATGAAATACAGAGCCATAATGCGTATTTTTAAAAAATCTCAAGGTAAAATAGCATTTAGCTTGTAAACGCGTTAAACACCTCATCCATCGCAGTAAAAACCCCAGCACTTAAAATCTTGCAGTTTTTAGTAATATAGGCCAATATAGCTTGAAATTGTAAATAATCCCCGCAGAGCGGTATTAGCAACTTGGTGTGTGAACAAAGAGCCCTTTCTGCATCAGCATGAATGTTGCCTTTTTCCGCCCTCCTCACAAGCGTGATTTTAGAAAACAGCTGTAGCGCTTGTTGACAAATGACAAAGCGACAGACGTGGTCAAACACTTCGGTCAATGCCAAGCAGGGGCTGCTGCAGAGGCCAACGGGCTCGAATCCCTAGCTTCACTAACCTCTCTCCTCCGGTCTTTAGGGCGCGGGGCCCCTCCGTCCCCCCCCCCTCCCCCCTTTCCCTGGCTCCGGTTACAGCCTTTCGAGTTGAACAAACTTGCTGCAGGCGGATTGGCGACCCGGCGCTCTTCGGCTGCGGCGCTGTATTTATTCATTTACATTCCGCGGCGTCCCGCCTGGGCCGCTCCTTTGTATCCTCCGCCGCCTCCCGGGCTCCGGGCCTCCGCCGGCCGCGTGTCCCCTGCGTCTGCCCGACCCCGGGGCCGGCACGTGCTGCGCCCGCCCGGCCCGCGGAGGGGGCGGAGGCCCAGCATTTCTTCTGACCCCGGTGAGGCCAGGAGGAGGAGCCCCGGGGGCCGAGGGCGACAGCTGTCCGGCAGTGGGAGCCAGGCGGAGCAGGGAGCCCGCGACTCGCGGCGGCGGCGGCGGGGAGGCGGGGACCCGGCAGGGATGTTCCCGGTCCCGGGCACTTCCTGACTGGCCGGCCCCGCGCTCCGCGCGCCCCGGCCCCCAGCTCGCTGCCCGGCGGGGGCCGCTCTGCGTCGGCGGTGGAGGCTCTCGAGGGGGTCGCGGCGGGGGATGAGCTGATCGCGGGTGAATACGCCGCGGACCGGCCGGAGAGGCCGTGGGGAGCCGCGTTTCTCGGAGTCGCCGCCCTGCCCTTGGATTCGAGACCATGTACGTGCGCTTTTCGGTCCTGCCATTGTCCCAGCCAGGGCGCCGCCGCTGCGTGCGCCCCCGGGCGGGGGCCCGGCGCCCGACCCCGCCGCGCGCTGACCACGCGCCTCGCCCCCCTCTGCCCCTCTCCGTCCCGTAGGTCCATTCACATCGTGGCGCTGGGGAACGAGGGGGACTCCTTTCACCAGGACAGTCGGCCGTCGGGGCTCATCCGCACGTACCTGGGGAGAAGCCCGCTGGTCTCCGGGGACGAGAGCAGCTTGTTGCTGAACGCGACCGGCAGCAGCGTCGCGCGTCCCGTGTTCACGGAGTATCAGGCCAGCGCGTTCGGAAACGTCAAGCTGGTGGTCCACGACTGCCCCGTCTGGGTAAGGCGCGGCAGCTGCTCTGGGACGACACTGACGCAGCTTCTCTTTCATTTTTTTTCCGCCTCCCCTCTTTCCCTCTTTCATGAAAGGGAAGTGTCCAGGTCCCCCAGGTGGAGTTTTTTTTGTTTTTTTTTAACACTTTTGGGAATACATTTGGTCCTTTGTTTCATCAGGCAGGGAGCAGCCCTAAGAACACTCTTAGAAGGCAAAAAGCCCCGGTGGGAAAGTGGGGCGTTTACACTTTAGGACTGTGGCTTGTCCCCGGGTAGACGCTGACAGTTGAATGTGCCAGCCACAAGGGACAGGGTTACTAAGTTTCACCAGCAGAGAGCAATGTTTTTTATGCCTACTCTGTCAGTGATAGTGGAATACCTAGTGTTCTAAAAATAAAGCCCTCCGAGAACTCAACACAGGCAAAGAAACGTTTCACTGGGGCAGTTCAGAAATAGGACCCTGGAAAGGAGAAGGAGAGACAGGGACTGAGAATTAATTTTTAAAAACTCATGTATATTACTACCTACCTTTGAAATTTTTTAGTGTTTCTAATAGTAATAATGCAGACCCTCTTGATATATTAGGCATTTGTCTTTGGTAATTCATAAATCAAATGATATTACTAATACTGCTTGGAATTTTGAAAAGCTTTATATTTTGTAATAATTGACAGGAATTGTCATGAAGTTGATAAACTCTAATATAATTCTTGAGTGTCTGATAAAAGGAGAAAAATTTTCTCATTGACACATATGTTTTTAGTACACAATAACATCATATTTTTAAATGTTTTCATTTCATCCTATTTGACAATGCCTGATTCTTTACTGGTCTTTAAGTCATATTGCTACTAAACATTACATTTTGTAACAGAACAACAGTTTAGTGTCTGAAAAAGAAAATACAAATTATCATTATGTGAGATTTTTACATTTAAGCAGCATTTCTTAAAAATGGAATTAGGGGCTATAGGGAATTAATATACATTCCTAAAGAAATGTATAGAATTTACATATAACATTTTCTTATGCAAATATCCATATCATGGAAACAAAAGATCACTTGCCCAAACAAATGTGTGGTTAAAGGGAAATTTATATTAACAGGCTAAAAGAAATTTAAAAAATAGGTTTTTTTCCAATAACTGTGATGCTGTTAAACTCCTGGTTATGACAGCGGTGAGGCTGATCATAAGACGCATTAGTAGAGAATTTATTGACTGGAGTCCGTGCAAGCAAATAAAACACTTGTTTTAACGTGGTCATTGCACTGTGAAAGAAAAGGCCGTACAGTCTAAAAACTTACTGGTTTTACACAAAGCAGAACAAATGTTGACTAAATACAGGAAATAAAATGGAGGGAAAATAAAATAAGCTGAATTAGGGTGTTAGGGTTACCTTTTACATTTTTTCTTTGAGATGTTAAGTGTTTCCCCTTTACGTTGTTAATTTAGCAAACAGCAATACTTGTAATCCCGTGAATTGTAGTAAATGGAATCTTCCGGATGGATTTAGATAAGCCCCAGTAGTATGGGTTTTTGCCATTTACTGATTGTTATGTTAAATCATGCTGATTTAATCACCTTTGTTTGGTTAGACTCTGGCCCTATAGAAGGCATTGAGTTTGTAACCAGATGTAGTTTTTTAGGTTATTATGGTCCACAGACGTGGTAGAATACATTTGTAGAGTTACTCTTTGTAAGGTGATTTTCTTCTCTTGGCATTAAATGAAAGTATATCAGAGATATTAAACTTGATTATACTCGTACTCATCAGCTGATATTTGGCAGAATATTAAATATAGCAGAGCAGATAGAGCACAAGTTTCGATATCAAAAGGACCTGATTTCAGATTCTCACATTGCTACTTGGTAGCTGTGTTCCTTGCTAAGTCATTTGTCCTCTCTCTGTGTTACCTTTCCTGTATATAAAGTAAATATAAGAGTCCGTACCTCCTAAAACTATGCCAAAGAGTAAATGAGAGAGTCCATGTAAAGATCTTAATATAGAAGCCTAGCATGTGGTAGACACGTGATAAGCGGTAGCTACTACAATAATAGAGTATTTATTACAACTTTGGTACAGCCAGGTATCACTGATGCTAAGCCAAAGTACAATAGTTTTCCCACACATCATTCAAGATTTAAACAAATACAGGTACAGAACTGTGCAGAACTGTTAGTACTTAGTAAGTATTGTGTTTGCAGCCCCACAATCAAATGGAATGAAATCATTGTTTTGCTTTAAAAATTCAGATTAGTTTTTAAAAGATGAGCTTTATTCTCCAAATGTGGCTCCAAGCCTTGTGTTGCATAACCTCCTAAAGGAAATCCTGAAACTGACTTACAAGGAGCGGGAAAACCTTATTTCCTTCATATTTCTAGAAACCAGTGGAGCATTTTCTCTTTGACATTGTTTGAGAAGAAATGTGTTTTTTCCTTGAACCTGGAATGGGATAGCTGTGTTTCTTTTTTCTTGTTTTCTTCTATAGACCTGTAGTCTTACTCTGCATCCTTGCCATATATACTTGGCATTTTAAAAATAAATATGCTTCAAATTTATCTCATGTAGCTCATTTTTAGTATCTCAAGCCCACCCCTTTTGTTGCAGTTATTATTTTATTTATTTCTATGCTTTTTCCTGTTTACCAGAAATAATTCCACAAGCAGCAGTGAGGTAATACATGCATACTTTTCTTATGCAAGGTTTGAAACTCTGATTTATATTTAAAATAAAATAGAAATTAAATTAAATTATTTATGTCTTTGTAGTCTCAGTACCATAGTGTTAATGATTCCAAAACGTATTTTTTTATGACATTTTATCTTAAATATTTGTCCCACAACCCATCATCCCCTGTACACCTCTCTGGTAACTGGAATGTTGAATTATTTGGAATGCAAAGAGCAAATTACTTTTGATTTGTTTTCCCGGAGTTAAACGGCCACTTAATATTGATCCTGCTTGTGTTTACTTTTTGTATACTGTTCTGCTGTCCTTCTGCCTTATTATCCTTGCACACTTGGAGCTCCCACACTATGTAACAGATACAGTTGGAACTGAACGGGTTTGTGGTTTGGGGTTTGGAAATTAGCACAGAACTCTGCTGGGAAACTTTCACATTTTCTTGATCTGTGTCTTCCTTCACTTCTCCCCCCTCTTACACCCTCTGCTAAGTGCAAGACTTTGTATTTTATATTCCTATAGTTTGTCTTCGGGTGGGGTTTTTTGAGGGGGATTAATTTTCTTTTAAAATGCTGCATTCATCCTACTTTCAGTAGGGTATGTGTAGCTAAAAATTCCATAATTCTTGTTATTCTGAGTGTGCTTGTAGGAGAAGGGTGGGTTGGGAAGGCACAGGGAGTAGACGCAGGCTTTGCCTGGCCTGGGGGGCTGTGCTGGTGAGAAGCAGCTCTCTGCCAAAGGGCATTGCTGTGAATCACTTCTCCAGAATTTTGCATCGTAGGACAAGAGCTCTGACACACAGACACAGATCTTTACTGATCGATTCAACACTATTAACTGTTTATGACTCATATTTCAAAGTGAAAACTACATAGTCCAACAGATTTTGGGCCACCTAGCCATATCAGGCTATCTGTTTTCTTTCTTTGTGTGTCTGTGTGTTCCAATAAATCTTTATTCACACACACATATACACACACACACATTGGACCAGATTAGCCTGCAAAGCTATTTTCCTAATCCAATTTTATTATATCCTAGACATACATACTAAAGGCCACATAAAAACACAAATAATGATTAATAGTTAACTAGAATATGAGAAGAACACTACTTAGGCATATTTAGTAATGGTATCAGAACATATAAAGATATTTTCTTTATACCACTATGCACAGGAACTTTGAAAAATTATTTCTAAAATATTAAAGGACAAATTTTTAAGGGCTCACATCCACAATGAATTATTTTTGGTCCAAGTTCTAAATATAAGTATTATAACTGTAGCCCAAAAGTAAAGATTTCAAAACTAGAAGGACTTATCCTAAGTTTTTAAATTTATATAAGCAAAATACATGAATTGCCACTATATTCCTTACCATGTTAGCACCTTATTATACTGTATCATTTTACGAAGGCATCTCTCATGCATGTACATACTTCACGTATGCAGTGCTGTGCAAAGGATACATGAAGATGAAAAGTACAAATGAATTTCTAAAATCTGGATACAATATAGGAACTCCACAGAATTTACAGTGCGCTGCAAACAGCACTGAACATTCTGCAGTGTTGAACTGGGTCACAGAAAATCCTTTGAAGCTTCCTTACTCATGTGTTGCTTTTGTATCTAATGTATAGTGTTATGCTTTTAAAATTATTAGTTGGTAAAAATAAGGCATAATTTTAAAACAAAGTGCTTATTTTTAAACACGGTTACTGAAAGAGGCTTCTTATTTTGGTAGACTCTCAGGACTTCAGTAAGTCCTCTACCACCACCTGGTCGTCTAAGCTGCAAGAAATAAAATGTTTGAAAAAATAGAGGAGTTGGTACACTTCAAACATTTTTAAAATTATGTAGTTATTTTGTAAAATAAAAAATTGTAGTGAATCCCAGAAGTTTGAAATATAGGGAAAAAATTAAACTACTGTGTTGCAGTTTATTTCATGATTGATTTGAAGACAGACTAAAGATGACTCTTCGCATTTTGGTGTAGGATGTTTTTGACAGCGATTGGTACACCTCTCGGAATCTAATTGGGGGCGCCGACATCATTGTGATCAAATACAGTGTGAATGACAAGATTTCATTCCACGAAGTGAAGGATAATTATATCCCAGTGATAAAAAGGTCATCAAATTCAGTTCCAGTGATTATTGCCGCCATTGGGACCAGACAGAATGGTAAGTATTTAATTTTCCTTTTTTATAATGAGAAGGCAGGTACCATATGAATTATTAATAGAGCTGTTTATTAATGGTTAATGCAGTTTTTAATAAAAAATCCAGAATGACTGTGGGTTCAAATGCCAGCTGTTGTCTCTTCATCACTGGATATGTTAATGAGACATCAGAGGAAAGGATTGCAAACTTCTGCCGTGATTATGCTGGGTCAGATATCTCAGGGCCAACTCAGAATTCACTCTGATTTGGTGATATTTTATCATTCTTAGTGGTATTTTCTCAGTACAGCTGACTTTAAATTTTTAGTTTTATTCCTTTATTTTTATTGTGGTATAGCAGAGTGAGGACATAAAGTTCACTAATCTTTGAATGCAGCTTGATTCATTTTTACTTCTGCAACCAACACACGGATTGAGATGTAGACACATCTGTGGCACTTAGTGTCTCACTTGTCTCTTCCCAGTTAATAACACCCTCCCAGAGGTAACCACTATTCTGATTTCTAAAAACATAGATTAGTTCTATCTATTCTTGAACTTTGTATAAATGGAGTTATACAGTGTGTAATGTCCAGTGTCTAATTTCAGTGAGTGCAACACTATTGAGATTCATCCATGTTGTGCTTATCTATCATTTGCTTTCTGGTTGCTACATATCATTCCATTGTACAAGTATGCTGTAATTGATTTGTCCATGCTGCTTTGGATGGTGCTTAAGTTTTTACCTAGGAGTAGGGTCGTTGAGTCATAGGGCAAGCTACATGTTTAACATGAGTGGATATAAAAGTAGGTTTGACCATTCCTTGAAATCATATCTTCTCTGTTTCTCAACCTTTCTTTTCATTGCTGGCCATGAATCTCAAAAGTGTCATCCACACTTCCTGAGTTCACTTCCTGGCTTCCCATTTATTCTTCAGTCTGATTTTTACTTTTACAGTTACACTGAGTTTGTTCTCAGTCAGGGTTGCTAGTTTATATGTTTATTGCCAAATTTAATATGTTCCAACAATAATTCTCTCTTTGAAATTATTCAGTCATGCCTTTTCCTCCTGATTCCCAGTCAGGGCACATGCCTGGGTCGCAGGCCAGGACCCCAGCTGGGGTCATGCACTAGGCAAACACACATCGATGTTTCTCTCCCTTTCTCCCTCCCTTCCCTCTTCTTTAAAAGTAAATAAATAAAATATTTAAAAAATACAGCTATTCGTTCCTTCCTAATTGTTCTGTCTTCTTGTTCCCCAACACTGCCCCCCACACATACACCAACACATCCTGTAGTTGTTGCCCAGAGTGTTCCATCCTTTGATTTCACTGTTTCTTGCTCTTTACTTTGACCGTGAACGCAGTCATCTCCTGTCCTTGCCTTGTATAGACACTGGTGATTACCCAGTTGTTTCTCTGGCTCCTGTCTCTCTTAGGGCCCAAAGCCCCACAGACGTCTTCCTCTCTCTCCTGAATTCCCTGTCTTGGTGAAGAATGCCAAACCTATCCGTTCGCCCAAACTAGAATCATCCAACCCAGCTTTTACTCCTGCTCCCTGTATCCAGTTGACTAAGAAAGTCTTTAGATTTTGTATTTTAAATAGATCTCAAATTCATTGTTTTTTCTTCATCTTCATTGGATTTCAGATTATAGTCATTTAATTATCTGTCACCGTGACCTTCTTTTTGATCTGCTAAAGGGGCAATTCCAGATTTTGTAGGACCCAAAACATAGAATTTTAGAGGGTTTTTTGCAAGAAAACACCCCCCCATCACAGATACCTATCGATATTTAAAGTGAATTGAAAGAGAGAAGAAACCACAACAAATTACAAACCTAAATAGCTGTCAAGTACCACAGGTTGTTAAAAGATGCTTCTATTATTTAACACCTTGACACTTCTTTAACTTTTCTTATATTTTAGAGGGCTGCAGAGTCTTTAATCACCTCTTCATATGGTAACCACTTTTTAATGTGTTTTATGGAAAGAAGAAAATGATGATCAGTTTTTCCCCTGCATGTTTCTTCACTGTCTGCTTTGGTTCTGGCACTGTAATTCGTGTTGTGCTCGTCCTTCAGCTTGGACACTCCGTGCCATAACACCAAGTAAGTCAGCACAGTGGGTGGCCAAAGCACGCCTAAAGGCCATTCCTATACCAGGACACTTACTAACCATGCAAGGAAGTGACTACGAACTACAAATAATATCTCCCTAAACCTAAATCTAAATTCCTCTTCGCACAACCCCTCAGATGCTCCTGGTTACTCTAGAGCTGCCTGATACAAGGTGAAATGGGCTGGGTTGGAAAGAGACAGTGGTCTTAACCAAACATAGTTAAAATAGCTTATCTTGAAAATTTCACAAAAGCCCATGACCATGTGAGACAGTCTAATGCCCAGGCTCCTCCCAGAGCTTTGGTGAGGACCACAAGAAAAGGGCCTGAGGCTGGAGCTTTTTCTAAGCTTTGTGGTAAATTGACCTCTAGTCTCCAGTTCCTACCTGGCCTCTTTCTGAGACACAGCCTCACAGGATAATCACCCCAGAATACAAGTCAGACCGTGACACTCAATGCACCACATTGTTCAGAAACTCGTTTCTTTTTCCCTAGCTTTTATTCGCAACATTTTAAACCTAAGAAAATTGATAAGAATAGAACAATGAACCCCAGAAATTACACACACACACTTTTCTCCTCTGAACCACTGGAGAGTAAATTGTAGACATTATGAGATTTCTTCAGTTCTAATTATTTAAGCCTGTATCACCTAAGAACAAAGTTATTCTTCTACTAACAGGAATACAACTGTCACCCTCAAAAATGTAACTGTTACCTATTACACTGTTATTTAAAATAGTCACATTTTCCCAATTGTTCTAAAGCTGTTTTGTTTTTAAAACACGACGAAATAAAGGACTACACATTGGATTCAATAGCCATGTGTCTCTACTCTCTTTAAATCTAGAATAGGTCCCCCACCTTTCAGGGACTAGAGTGGGAAGGGAAGATGGTGGCAATGACATTTTTAAAGAACCCAAGCTCATTATTTAATTGCACAGTTCCTTCAGGTCTGATAACTCTGGTTGCAGTTAGCAATTTTTTTTGGCAAAATAGTGATGTTTTTTGCAAAAGCAATTTTTAAATCATTCCTTCTTACTGGTTGGTATCCTTCTGAAAGCACAGCTTTCCCTTCTTTCTGCTCCATCTTTCTTTTAGAATCATTATGATTCATGAACTTGCTCTTTAAATTCAGTATCTTATAAACTGTTCTTCTTATTCTCTCTAGTGCTCAAATTACCCCAAATTTAACCCCCCCTAGAGGGGGCCTCTTTAAGCTAACACCAATTAATTTTTGAGTCCTTCCTTATTTTCTGGCATAAGATGTCCCAGGCTCACCTTAGGCCTTGTCTGCCCCAGCCCTGGAATCGGTCCTTTCTTCAAGGAACCCTGGTTCCTCATAATAAATAATGATGTTTAGAAACCAAGAATTGGGCTGTGGGGGGTGTTCATTACTTTAGATGTCATGGCTTCTAGGTCCATATATATGTGGCTGTATCCAATGGCTTTGTCCCCCCCTCCCCACACACACACAGGGCCTGGCCCAAATAACACATCTTTCTATTACAAAAATCATAAGCATATAATTTTGTAACATAATGTAATCACACTCAGTCACACCATGTGACATTTTGGGTGAAATTTTCAAATTGAAACTATAAATTATTGCCCCCGTGTTATTACCCTGCCAACCACACTCAAGCAGGCCTTCCTTCTGCTGGACCCTGTGTGTGTGTGTGTGTGTGTGTGTGTGTGTGTGTAAAATCATGGGTTCTCACTGATACCCTTATTCCAATCCAATCATTTTTACCTCATTTTAGTAATTTTCTATGGTAAAGTCTTATCTAAAATACAAGATAAGTGTATCCTCTGGGCCACATGCCCGCCATACTGAACTACTGGAAAAACTTAACTTCTTTCTTTAAGTCTGGGAAAATCTCCACTTTCTGACATCTTCAGATACCACCTTTCCTTCATTTTCTCTAGTCTCTTTTCGAGACTCTTCCTAAGTTAATGTTGAGGCTTCTGGATCTTTTCTCCATCTCTCTCTCTCTCTTTTTAATGTTTCATGTCCCTTTATTTCTCCCTGTCCCATTGTGGGAGAATTGCTTGGTGTTTTGTTTTCTCCCCCCAGCTCACAAATTAGTTCTTCTGGGTCCATTCTTATTTTAAGATTCTGTTTTGATTGCTCTGTTAAGTCTGTTTTTGAGGGGGGTTGCATTTTACGTCTTTCATTTGATGAGACTTTATTTCGTGGTATGGATGCTTCCTACACATTTGATCATTCTTGGTTTGGCCAGTGTTGCAGTTTGGACTCCCTGTCAGACTGATGCCTTTCTCCTCCTCCGTGCATCTGCTGTCTGGGGTCAAGGTGGAGTGGGGAACACACGGACCTGCAGGCCTGTCTGCTCGCACTGCGATACTCCAGACGGTCTCCCCTGGGTCACCCTGGGGTCTCCTTCCCCTCACCAGCTTTGAGCAGTGAATGTTCTTCTCTTTCTTTACTGTTATTTTTACAGATGTCCCTCTTTCCCCTCCTCCTTTGCCCACCTCCACCTAGCCACCCTCTGCCCTTGATGTTGCCACAGTGCAGAACTTGGAGTCCCACCTGTGCGATGAGTTTTAGCGTCCCTCTTTGGTCTTGTGCTGTCTGCCGGCAGTCTCTCAGGCACTCCTGGGTTCTGAGTTGATGAGACTCTCTCCTCTGTTTTTTGTGTTGCTGTATATGCACATTTCCCACCTCCCCCCTCTTCCTTCCTCCCACTTCCCTCCCTTTCTTCTCTTCTCTTCCTTTCTCCATCACTCTTCTTCCCACTCCCTGTATTTCATCATTTTGTGAGTCAGCAGGAGAAGATGGAGAAGAGATTGCGGTGTGGGCATCGCCTGCCATCTTGGCACTGGAAGTGCATGCCTTCTCCTTTTCCCTGACATCCAGGCCTCCACATGTGCTCCGTCTTACGATCAGAGTGCCTCTCTGTATGCCCCTTCATACCTGCACAGCAAATTCATATTTATCTTGTAGATCTCTGCCTCTTCCATGCAGCCCTCCAGAATCCCCCAGGCAGAGTTTACTTTCGTCTGTTCCCAGGGAGATTTTGTGTACCTTTATTTTAGTACTTAGGTTGTAATTGTTGGCAGTCAGGTCTGTCTGGGTTCCACTGACCATGAACTTCTTTTCTTTGTGTATTCTTATATCCCTAGTATTTGATGTGGTAGGTGTTCAATAAATATTTGTTCAGAGGATGCTTTAATGGTAATTTTATGAATGATATACCTAAGTGAGAAAAAAATAAATTGCACTGACAAGATGAACTTAATTTACCATTTAAAATTTGATCACAAAGTAGTTACAAAGCTAAAGCTGTCTGTTCAACTCAAGGACATTTATTGTCTCCCCTCCACCTGCCAATCCCTTGTAATACATGAAACTCCTAGTATCTCCTCTCTTGATCTCTTTTTAGAATTAGTTCAGCAAACACAATCAGTCTCATGTCTTTCCTTTGTTACACGTGTTTTGACAAGCTAGACTGTGTATATCTTCTGCCTCATTCTTAGCTCTGAATAAAGTTTGGGGTTTTACTAAATATTGAATTTATCTTTAAAGTAGAAAAATTTTCTCAACAATTCCCAGGGTGTATTCATCACCTTCAGCTCCTAAAAATTGTCATACTGTCTTTTTTTCTCTTTGAAGCTCTTACATAGCCTAGTACATTGCTAGGCTAGTATTCTTACAAGGAATTCCGAAAGTTTCAGCATTGGCAACATTGTAAGATTCTCAAAGCCACTGCTTTGAAAGTGTTGCCTTCCTTTGAGTTCCAAAGGTACATTGTGTTTGCTTTAAAATAATACACATTTAGTGATGACTACAAAGGCAACATATAAGAAACAAACCTGCAATGTTAACTAGAAACATAGCACTCTGATTTGCAAAGTGTCTTCGCCCCTGAGGGTCGGCTCACAGGAGTGAGCTCCTAAAGAAGGCACCACGGTTTAAAGTTATTTGGGTCCTCAGTGTTCCCGATGGCATGTTCAGTGAAGGTTTCTTTAATCCGTAAATGTTTTTTCGATGGTCCTACCCAACACATAATGACTAAGCAGTTTTTGTTTTGTACGTGTGAACAAAAAGAAATGTCTTCTGTGACCGAGAGGCTCTGTAAGGATTAGCAATAAGGAGGGGCTTTCTAGGCCTGTGTGTCAGCAAGGTGCTTGTGGCTGCTCCCAGTGGGGGCGCCTCAGCTGGACGAAACCTGAAATTAGTTTCCTTCAAATCCAGATCATTGGTTAAAAATTATTTTAAATTATGTTCACTTAATTTCCCACTTGAAACACTACTGACTTTGCTTTATTTTTGAATAGAAATACAGTTTAATGCCTGCCCACCCCATTCCACCAACATAAGGAGACCTTTGTAGCCATAAGAAGCCCTCTGTCTCCAGAAAATCAAAGACACTACTGATGAAGGCTTTGTAAAGAATGTGAAATACCGATTTCAAAATAGGGTAAATTCTGTATGAAAACTTTATCTGCTCCAAACCTAAAATTTTCTTAGAAAAAGTAAATGCAGAAAGAGTAGAACTTATGACATAATTTAGAGAACTCAAGCTTAACCTGTTAAATCACCACATATTTGAAATCTATAATTCTTTACTCAAACTAAATTTTTAGCTTCTTTTTCATGTTCCTTTATCAGGTGGAGCAAGAATCAGTTTTTTATTATTTCTCCATCTCTAACACAAGGAAGCTTGGGCAGGTCCCTTCACTTCTCTGAGCCTCAGTTTCCTCCTCTGTGGAATGAGGACTTGAGTATGTACATGGTTTCTGAGCTCTAAAATGCTTCCAGTGAAGCTAAAATGATTTAAGTCATGTGTACACACACATAACTACATGCATGTTAGGAGTGTGTGCTAAATATCCTTGGTATACACAGTATATGTACATATATGTGCACCATCTATATGCAACTCGTTGGCAGAAAATCTGTTGTGCATGCTGTGGGGAGTTTCCCAGATGCCCTTTCTAGGCCCCTGTGGTTACTAATCCCTCGGTCACTGGGCTTGTTGGTGCCTGCTGCCATATAGCTGAGTCCCTTTTCAGACATTACCTTCTGCCGATAGAAGTTGCTTGCCCAAGGTTATGGCCTCTCCACGTGGTGGTCCTCCTCTAATCTCTGGTGGATTTAGGAATGTAAAGGTCCAGCTGCCTTCCTCCAAATAGGGAACCATTCTAAGGACCATGTAAGCTCCAGAGCCCCCCGCCCCCCCGTAGGATCAGTGGAGGTCCCTGTTGCAGCTCTATTGCAGCTTGCATTTTCCCTCTGCCCAGTCCCACTTCCTCACTCCTGAGAAGAGTTGTTTTCAAGGTCACCCCCCACCCCCATAATCCTCCTGCACACCGATTTCCATCAATCTGCTTCCAAGGGAAGCCAACCTACAACAGCATGCATTTCCAGAAATAGATTTATCCGCTTCTGCCTTGGCTGCCTTTGAACAGTGACATATCTGATGTTTTGGCATGAAACAAAATGAAGCTAGCCAACCAATACCGGGTTGAACATACATTTTGAGCCTTATTATGGAGTGCGTACATGCACATAGGTTGATCTAGCACCTTCCCAGTCAGATCTGTACGTGATATAATCATGAATCTTGGAACAATACAATACACATTTTGAATAAATGCTTTTTATTCCTTCGGTTTTTTGTATTTCAGTCTTGAAGAAAAGAGTGATTGAATTTGTTCTTTGCAGTTGAATGCTTTAGAGTCTAATAATTGAAATGTTTGGATTGATAAGAATGTACTTTATAAGAAATCTACAAAGATAGTGGCAATTTCACTCTCCTGTGGAGATTCAGGTCAAATTGAGGATTCTGTTAAACTGAAAGTATAAGGTCTATTCAAACTTGGTGAACATATTTCAGATTTAACAACCCACTATTTTTTATGGTGTTTATGAGCAACCAATCTGTTCAATATGTATTGATACCGAGGATGTCGAGGTTGTTTAAAAGGAAGTGGGCCAGCCATTACTGGCTCATGGTACCGTTGCTGTAATAGCCTTGGAAATATTCAGTCACCTATTTTTAAGTCCTTCTGTTTTGTAAAATACTGTTTATTCTTCTTACAGTTTAACGTTTAACTTGTTTAACATTCAGATCATCTATGTACATGGGTTTCTTTCTGCTTAAATTCAAAGCTCTTTGTTGCTCCCATTTATTTTCCCAGAAGAATTACCTTGCACGTGCCCTCTGTGCACCTCAGACAGAGGGAGCTGTGTCAGCACAACGGAAGGGATCCAACTTGCTAAAGAACTAGGAGCCACCTACCTGGAGCTGCACAGCCTTGACGACTTCTATATAGGGAAATATTTTGGAGGAGTGGTGAGTGGAAATTCCTGTTACATACATCAGGGTCAGGGGGTGCTTTAGCTATTTGCCAGAACCTCAGTTAGAACTTTAGTTTTAAAAGCATGATTAGTTTTAACTTTGAGAGATAATATGTGTGTAAGTAGGAAAGAAGGTTTTGTTAGAATAAAATGGAAATCATATTTTTCTCTTCAAATGAAACATTTTCTGTTGTCTAGTATGATGTTTTAGAGTTTTCTATTTGGTGCCACTTTCTTAAAGCATGTTTACTTACACAAAGCCATGATGTCAGCTTTAATAGTAATCTTTAAATCGCTCGACTAGCTTGGCATCCTGAACCAGTGGTCTTGAAAGTCCTCCTTCATTTCTGTCTTCTACTTGAAGAGAATAATCATTCTTATCTGTGTGTGTTTCACCAAGATTCCATGTACTTCTGATTTTGGTGTCGCTCAAAACTACCCAGAGGAACTACATGTAAAATAGCTCTTGCTGGATAAGCGGGGAGCGGAGTTCGTTGCTCTGCGGCAGTGACATTGCCTGGCTCTGCAGGCAACCCTGAGGCCCCGCAGCCTTAGGACGCCATGGTCCTCGGAGAATACTGGGGAGTTGTTTCCGGGATCAGACAAGATTGGGCGTGTTGAGGGCGGTGTCGCTGTAGACTAGAGTTGTCTCATGTCAGTGTTAACTAACTTTGGAACTATCTTCCCAACCCTCTAAGAAGTAACTTCTTTTAATAGATACATTAGTAAACACTGGTGGGAGGTTTCAACCAAGGAAAGCCTACATTAAGCAGGAGCACTTTGGACTTCCCCATCAGCATCCTACCTCCTCAATGGGTACCCTTCCCTGGGCCAGAATATTCGCTGTGTAGGTTGATGCTGAAATGTTGAGGTTCCCCTAGATAACTACAGAAAATGCATTTGTTCTGGAGTTACTAAGCTCCAGATAAGAACCAAAGATAAAATAAGGACCAAATATAAATGTTTCTGATTTCTATCAAATATAAGTGGCTATTATTCACCCAGTATTAGAGAGAAACAGTAATAATAAATCATTAAGGGAGATATACTCATAATACTGGCATTATCAATGATTGAGAAACTTTTGTCCTATTTATCTATATTGATAAGCAGTGGGTAGAAAGATTGAGAGGGGTGAAATCCAATTTTCCTGTCAAGCAGATTATATTATAGTAGCTTTAAAAACTTAATTTAGTTTAATACTCTTACATTTTTCTGAAATATCTAGGGAGTTGGGGGCCATGGGGGAAGAAGATAGTTTAGTTTCATTTATTGGAGAAGAGGGGTCTGGTTCTCTTGGCAGGGGTGGTGGGGAACAGCTTAAGCCTGCTGTTCCCCATTCAGGTTCCTGAACCTGAACTTCTCAAGATCACTCTTCCCACCGCCCAACTCCCACTTTCTCTTCTCTCTTTCTCTTCTTCCCCGTCTTTGTTTTTCTTTGCTCCTAATGCCTAGTGTTTTAGCTAGGGTTGGATGCATGGTGAGGAATGAAGATGTGGTCAATGCTGGAAGAAAAACATGGTACTTTCCTTTTTTCTTAACTCAGGACTTAATAAGAATGTGGAAATAAGATCAGAGTGCTCTCTTTTTAGACTCTTGAAAAGTAGAGTACAACTGAGATCTTGAGCATGAGAAGTAATGATGTTCACAAGAATACGCATGGAGGCGATAATGTCAAAGTGAAAGGAACATTTAAAACCTTGTGCTTAAAAGTCAGTGACGACGATCTGTGCTACCGCTGGTTAGATTGGGAGTGGCTTGTGCTCTCGAGCTTCAGGGGGCCCCCTCTGGCCCTCCTCCAGTTGTACCCACCCCACAGGGCACAAGACTCTGGAGCCAAGGGGATGTGCCCACGAGAGCTGGTAGCCCTCACAGACCTGCAGCATCTAACTAAGGTGGTAGTCACTAGCCACATGTGGCTATTTATATTTAAATTAATAAAAAATTTTCAGTTCCTCAAGTACACTCGTCATGTTTCAGGTACACATTTTAATAGCTACATGTGGCTACCAGCTACTGCATCAATTAGCACAGATACTACAGAACATTTCCATCAGCACAGAAAAGAGAGTTGTACTGACCGTGTTCCAAAACCCAGCACTCCAGAATTCTCCGGGTAGCCGGCCCTGAGTCTGTTTCCCAGGCCCCTCCTCCTGCAGGTGGGCCACATTGCTGGGGAGTGCCCTCGCAGACCTAAGAGGTGGCCATGGGGTGATTGTGTATGTAGACCGGGGGAAGGGAAAGTGGACGGAGCTTGGTTGTGCAGCCATGGACATCGGTGTCTGTGCACACACCTCAAGGCAGGGGATGGGGTAAGGGCTAGGGAGAGGAGGGTCTGGGGCCCTGGAGTCAGAGACCAGCTCTCCTGTGCTGCACGAGACTCTGAGGAGTCTGAGCGTTTAACTCTGAACCTGGCCTTCCTGGCTTTTATGATCATGTATTTGTCATAGAAGGAGGCTAGAATATTTCTTACATAACAGTTTGTTCTCTTGATTTACATTGTTTAAATATTTGGATATGTGGTATGGGGACCTGCCTTCGTACCTTTGTGTAAAGGTACCTTTACCTCACAGTAAAGCGCAGGCCTGTGAGGAGCTGTGTGAGTGCACGTGGTTGGGATTTTAAATTTATAAAGTACAGGATATACTTCAAAGTAATTTATTAAGGAAAAAAACAGAGCGAGTGTGAACCTCCCTGGATGAGATGAGCATATACGTGACACAGCCAAACCTCCTCCTGCCTCAACTTTCTCTAGTACCAACGGCCACCGTTACTGGAGAGACCCTTGTTGACAGTCACGTGGTTTTATTGCTCCGCTTTCTTGATTATTCAAGGAAATAAACAGTTCCTTCTTAATTGGATAGTCGGTTTATGTTTAGACGAGGTACAACCTGACCTACCTGGAACGTTTTTTAAAACCGGAAAAGGCGTTGGAAAGTGTTTGCTAAAGCTTAGGTGTAGGTGGCACTGGCGTCGGAAACAGTGGGCAAGTGGGATTTGGGTGCAAATAATCATGTCAGATACACAACGTTGTTGGAGCTTTAATTAAAATGTGATTCATGTTTTAGTTGGAGTATTTTATGATTCAAGCCTTAAACCAGAAGACAAGTGAAAAAATGAAGAAAAGGAAAATGAGCAACTCGTTTCATGGAATTAGACCACCCCAGCTTGAACAACCAGGTGCATTTATTAGCTGATATCTAGTCATTTAGTTGGTATTTATTATAGACCATTTTACAAGTCTTAGAGCAACTGTTCTCAAATTTTGGTATATTTAGGACCCACCTGGGATTCTGATTCAGTAAATCTGGCATGGAGCCTATAATCTGCCTTTTAAATAATACTCCCAGGTGATTTGGAAGCAGGTGGTACTTGGACTGTATTTTAAGGACTACTGTCTTAAAAACTTGAACCTATATAGATTCTTAAAAATAGTGTGTGCTGTGGAGAGCTATCTAGATTATAGTCTAGTGAGAAATAACAACCAAATGCAGTGCACAAACCTTGATTGGCTACTGGCTTGATAAAAACATCTAAAAGACATTCACGGGACAGTTGGATAAAATTTTAAAGTGGACTAGAAATTACATGATATTACGCAATTATCGTTAATTTTCTTATGTATGATAATGCTGTTGTGATTAATAGGATGTCATTAATCACAGACAGAGGGGAAGGGAGGGAGAAAGAGAGGGAGAGAAACATCAATGTATGGTTGCCTCTTGTGTGCCCCCCACTGGGGACCTGGCTTGCAGCACATGCATGTGCCCTGCCTGGGAATCAAAGCAGTAACCCTTTGGTTCACAGGCTGGAGCTCAATCCATTGAGCCAGACCAGCCAGGGCCTTATTATTCTTTTTTAAAATTTATTTTTATTGTTGTTCAGTTACAGTGGTCCCACATTTTTCCCCTGTTGCTCTTCTCCCTGCCCCTCCCAAACACACCCTCCTCCACAGTCAATCCCCATCCAGAGGTCCGTGCCCATGGGTCCTCTGTGCATGTCCCTTGACTTGCCCCTTCTTAGGAGATGAAGTTGAAAGTATTTAAAGCCAAAATGTTTTGATGATTTTGCAACTTTTAAATGGCTCAGCAGTGTGAGTTGAGTGTGTTGTGTGAGACAGAGGGAGAATAGAGCTAAGGCAAAAAATGACAAAATATTAATAATGGCAGAATTTAAGGGAAAGATATACGTGTCCTTATTGTATCAGTATTGCAACTTTTAGAATATTTGGGAATGTCCATAATACAAGGCTGAAAGAAAATAAAGTTAAAAATTAATACATTTATATCCACTGGTATCAATAATTTTTTGCATAATTTTGTGATACAAGTAGTAGAACAGTACTCTATCCAGATCAATTTGTTATGGACTTTGCTTTAAAAATGAGGAGCTTGATAAGTATTTGTTGAATGAATGAGTGTAAATTAATCATGAAAAATATAAATTAGTATGGAAAGTCAGTTCCAGGTTTTAAAAACAAATGCAGATATAGATACCATAAATCAGTGATTTTCAGCTTCTTTTCATCTCATGGCACATGTTAACTTATAAAATTCTGCAGCACACTAAAAAATATATTTTTTGCCAATCTGACAAAATAAATAGGTATAATTCTGATTCATTCACACTGGATGGCTGTTGTTGGATTGGCTGTTGTCATTTTTTTATTTGACAACTTAAGGGAAAAAAGATCAGTTCCCCTGACTGAGTAGACAGGTGTTGAATGTTTTCAGAGTTCTTGCAGTGCAGTGCACCAGTTAAAAATCGTTGCTGTAAGCGGTACACACCTGGCTTTTAACTTCCGGTTGTGCAGAGTGAAAGGAGACGCAGTCTATTATTGTGGCAAACACCGGGGCCATAAATACTTCCTAGATGGGAAGATGGGTGGGGAATAGCCAAATAAATAATGCAGATAGATAATTTATTCTTATTAATCATGAAGAGAACACACACCGGTTCCTTGGAGAAAGCAAAGTGTTTCATGTTATTTACCACTAAGAGAAGTTTCTCCTGTGGGTCTTCATCTGGGGGACACTAGGAGATACAGTGGACAAGGCTTTCAAAAGTGTCCCATCAGCAAGTGCAGTCTCAACTTTCCCAAGGCTGTTTCTCTTCTGGTAGGAGAGCTGTGGATATCACACTGCACAGAACCCAGAGGCCCAGGACAGTACAGGTCCGGGCACACACATTTGTTCTGGTTCTCACTTGTTGCAATGAGGCAAATCCTGGATTCTGAGGCACGTGACTTGTAGACTGTACTCAGCCTTAAAGGGTCTGTGAAAGTACCTCGGGCAGTGGAGAGGGGGAAGGGTGAGGTTCAGTGCAAAAGGAGCCTGGCCCCCAAATTACCTTGTTATTCATTTTATAGACTGGAGTTTTGCTTTAGAACAAAGCATTTTCATTGCCAAAGAAGTTTGAATTTCACAGTTTTAGGTGATTGCAAATTCTCCAAGCAGCCCTAAACAGATAACACTTTGCTCAGCTCAGCTATGGATAAAAATTAGAGAGCAGTTTCTAATGAGAGTCTATGATGAGAGTGTAGGGCGTGGTCTTCTGTGTGGATATTCTGGATTGATTACCTGTTTTTGGTGGTAATCAAACTAGGAAATGGGAGGTTGTACCCTCTCTTGGAAATGAGGAAGACTAGCCGACACTGCCTGGGATATGCTGAGGGGAAAAAGCTCATTCTGGGAAAGCGTATTGTTTTACTAGAAAGAAAAATACACTAATTTTGGGATCCACATAAAATGGTTATGGTGGTTTTAAACAGTGAAGTCCAAGATACTGAGCCCTGGCTTTGAGAAGTTGCAGTTTTAATAATTTATCTCCCCACTTTCAGTCCCAGGAGGAAAATGACTTTCGATGTTAGGTTGGGTTTCTTCAGGACTTATTCTATAATTTGTTTGAATTTTGTATCGGGTATCAGTAACAAATGAGGACTACCAACGTACTAAAATTCAGTATCTGGAGGGATGTTTTATTTTGGGACAGACAAATAATGAGAAATGTTATTTTATTGCTCCTTGTGGATTAATAGGTTTTTTTTTGTTTGCACTATCAAAAATACAGCATTTCTGTGTGTCTGTGCTATGAAATCCTAATCCTTGGATAATTATTTTCATATGTTTTTGATTAGGTTCAACTATAAATGAAAAGAAAAAACTGTAAAATTGCTGTTTTTATAGGTCAAAATGGCCAAATATTGGCAATTTCATATGGCTCAATCTAATAATACTAAAAAATACTGTTTTGTTGTATTTAAGGTAAACCTGAAATGACTGGGTCTGTAGACCTGGAGGATAACTTACTATTCTCATTTTCTTTTTTGAAACAGAAAAAATGCCCGTCTTAAAGGCTGAAGCATCGCATTATAACTCCGACTTAAATAACTTGCTGTTCTGCTGCCAGTGTGTGGATGTGGTATTTTACAACCCAGATTTAAAGGAGGTTGCAGAGGCCCACAAGATCGTTCTCTGCGCCGTGAGCCATGTTTTCATGCTGCTTTTCAACGTGAAGAGCCCTGCTGACATTCAGGATTCCAGTATCGTCCGAACTACTCAGGATCTCTTTGCTGTCAACAGAGATACTGGGTTTCCAGGTGCTAGCCAGGAGTCTCTGGGCAACCCGCCATTGCCTGTCATTGTTAAAGACGCCCTCTTCTGTTCGTGTTTATCGGACATTCTGCGCTTCATTTATTCAGGTATCTCGTCAAATGGTTCTGGTACAGTCTCTTGAGCTTTTTCGAAAGCAGTGTGCCTGTGGTCCTCGGGAGTATTGGTTAGTTTTACATTTACCTTCTTCCTATCATCTGAAGTGAAGATATACATGAATTAGTGTTGGCCTTATGCACAGTAATTGTTCCAAGCTTTCTGTGTTCTTTACAAGTTTACTTGCCCTGGTTTTAAAACTACTTATAAAAGCAATAATCTCTTCTCAAACTAAGCAAGAAATACCCCAACTATGAAAATACAAAAATTTATTGTCCAGCTTAACTTTAAAGACAGAAAATTTTCCAGGTATATATATCAAACTAAGTGTCTGTTTCCTAAAACCCAGCTATATATTCACCTTTCTGTCTATAGTTAGATTTGGGAAGGGAATGAGGAGAGGAATTAACAGGATCACTGTGTTCTGTTTAGGAACTGGAAACACAGTTTGAAGGGTGTTCAGGCTGATATCTGACCAACTTTAGCTATGACTATTTTAAACTTAATTTTTCTTCTTACTGCACTCTAACCTTTTTAGGATTCAGCTTATCTTTCTCTTTGTCCTTTTAACAACTCAACAGCAACTTTATTTTAAAGAACAGAAGTTTTATCTGAGTCATTTTAGAATATGAATTGAAGGTCTCACACCTAAATGTCCCATGTAGGAGTGGAACAGAATGGGATATAACACGACCTTTAAAGTGAGCATCTAAATATGCATTTTGGGGGAACTTCTTTCTTCTTCAGTTTTCTTTTTCCACATGGAATCATGCTAATAAAACATTAGGTTAAGCTCATTCCTTCTCTCAAATGTGTCTGGAGAAACATAATCTGTTTTTAGACCTCAGAATTGGGGGCAGATATGATGTTAATAAAGGCTTGCAAATAAAGAAGTAGCATTCCTGCCCTGGCTGGTGTAGCTCAGTGGATAGAGCACGGGCCTGCAAACCAGAGGATTGCGGTTCAATTCCCAGTCAGGGCACATGCCTGGGTTGCAGGCCAGTTCCCAGTGGAGGACACACGAGAGGCAACCGTATATTGATATTTCTCTCCCTTTCCCCTTCCCCTCTAAAGATAAATAAATAAAAAAATTTAAAAAAGAAAAAGCATTCCTGTAGGTAAGAAAGTAGCCTTCAGTTGAAATGATTGATTCTAAAAATAAGATTTTATTTGGGTTGTGGTTATATAATTTTATGTTAAAAATTAATGACTGTGGAAAGTACAGTTGCAGCATGCAGGCAGGTACAAGTAGGTTAAAATATATACCTACTGGAGTAGAAGATGGTGGTAGGTGTTAAACCCATTGTTCAGTGAATTTTGGCTTGGAAAAGGCACTAATGCTCACTCCTGCAGGGCCCACGAGCACAGTGTCTTATGCACGGCGGGGTCTCCGTTAGTGTTGGTTAAGTTAGTGGTAGACTCCAGTAGCAGGAAACCGTCATATGAGGAAACCAAACTAAAGACTTAATAATTTAGTACTAGAAATTTTTATGTTGAAACCTAGAATCTCACAGTTCAGAATTTAAGACTGATTTTGCAAAAATTGAATGTTTTCATGTTTAAAGGAAAAAGTGACTTTAATGATATGTTTAGAAAACTATGGAGGAAGTATTTGGCTTTCCCTTTTAATGATTTTACTGTTACAATTATGAATTATTCAGGAAGTTTCCCACAATGTCCACTCAACACTTTCAAAGGCACATGAACACTTTGAGGTCAGTTATATCTTCTTTAATATTGTAATAGTAAAATTGCTAGCTGTCTCTCTAGTGACAGAACCTACTTGTCTTTCTGCTAGGACTGATTTTTTTTAGTTGCAAAATTAATACATGCAGATGGGAAAAGGGAAAGAAAAGCTCTCCTCATTCCCTAGTCCCCTCCCCAGAGTCAGTTGCCTGTCATCGGTTTTTCATATGTTCAAGTCTAATGTTATTTGAAAGAAATGAACTCCTGGGAGATTTGCATTGATGAAAATGTAATCTTTGGGAACGGCTGTTTTCCAGGAAGCACAGGCAGTTCCCCACGGCTGGAGCCTAGAGTGGGAGCCATGGAGAGAGAGAGGCTGACAGGGTCGGTGGGACCTGCTCCTGCTGTTCTCAGAAGCTGTTCTCAGAAGCTGTTCTCAGAAGCTGTTCTAGACTTTTAAGCATGAGCAGATGGGGCTTTAGAAAACTCCTCTCTGGGAATGTTGGGAAGAATGAGTCGAGCAGACCAGACTGGGGTCCATTTAGGAGGTCCCCTCCCTCTGGTGATCAACCTCAGGAGGGCAAAACATTCTGACAGCAGGCGGTTGGTGTTGCGGTTTGTCCATCATCTGGGCCAGTGCTTTTCAAACACTGAATGAAGTGCATACAAGTCACCTAGGGGTCTTGTTAATGGGCAGGTTGTGATTCAGTAGCCCCAGGGTGGGGCATAAGATTCTGCGTTCCCAGCAGTCTCCAGGGGATGTGGGTGCTCTGGACCACAGCAGTTGCAACACCTGCTCTTAGAAGAACTGGCTACCAGCCACAGCCATGGGCTAAGGGTCCAGAATTCACCCCAGAGGCCCAGGAGAGGAAGCCAGTCCTCAGTTGTAGGGTCCAGAGTCAAGATGGGCTCAGCTGTAAGGCTGTCCAACACAGCGCTGTTTGGAGTTGGGGCTCCCAGTGCCTTATTGTCACCTCTTCCTGAAGCTGGGAGAAGGGAACGCTTAGTGGTTGGGTGGAAACTGAGTCTGGGAATAGTGACGACAGGGCCGAGGGCTGTGATGGCAAGGACAGCCGGCGGATCTGCGAGCCTTTGACGGGTTCGGAGCTCAGCGTCTTCACCTGACGCTGAGCTGTTGCACTCTGCTCTGATCTGTGTGTGTGTCACAGCCCAGCAGGACGTGGTGTCGGCTTGACCAGGCCACAGCCCTGGGGTGCAGGGAGGCCCTGATGCTGGCTGAGGGGAAGCAGAGATACATGCTTCAGCAGGCACTGTGTATTAGTCTTCGGTTATTTAGAAAGTATAACCTCAAACGCAAGCAAAATTTATATTATCTAAGTTGTATTTAAAAACAAATTAACGCTATATTTACACAGGAAAGACACTTTGTAAAAAATATAAAAAGTTTGCTGAGAAAAAAAAATCAGATCCCCACTCTCAATGCCTAAACATTTATTAATGTTTTGTTTTACCTTCTAGTTGTTTCTGAATTGGTTACTGTTTTTTGTTTTTCCTCAGAGACTTTGGTAAGGACATCAGGGTTGTGGATTTTTTTTTCCTGTTGTTCTTAAACATTTAAAAACGTTTGAACAGAGCACAGGTTTTAAGAGTCGGTTATGTAATGGTTTCCTCGCAGAAGCCTGCCCACGGGCTGTGTTAGAGGCCTGATGAGGACAGGAGCCGTGTGTACTCACGTCAGCCGGGTTGGCAAAGCAGCGGCGGAATTCCAGGACGTGACACACTCGGGAATATTTGCCCTGAGCAAACGTGGGCTGAAAAACTGCCTAAAACCTAGCTCCTGCCTTTAAAACAAAATGAACCAAATTACAAAGACTGTCTTAATTTTTAATAACATACTTGTTTAATCTGTGGGAATTTGAAATTTTTGTATACAACAATTGGGCCGTATATTTAGGAAAGGCCTGTTTAATAGTCTGGATAGCACATTACACCTATAAGTTTTCAGTTTATTTTTCTGTCCACAGTTCTGAGTAGACACCATGAAAGTGTGTGCATGTTACTGTTCCATTGGCCAACAGCTGGCACTGTGTGCTGTCTGGGCACTGTGTGGCTGACACTAAAGAAGGAGCGGTCTGAAGAGCGAGGGCAGCAGTTTCCTGGCTGGTGCAGTAATCCTTAAATGGTGTACAACTGTAACATTCTCACACCCCTGATACCGTCTTTATGCCTGCAAATTCCTGAGCCACATGATCTCAGATGGTTAGACACTGAAATATTTGTAAGAGCCTCAGGAATTCAGCTTTGAGTTCTTCCTGCCACAGATGGCCCTTAGAACTGCACATCACTTACTGAAATGCCGCCCGGGTAAGTGAGTACGCGGAAGCGCACTTTCATCTTCGGTTTGCATAGTGTCCTTCAGCTGTTGGAACTGTTCTGTGGCGTGCTCCTTTCTGCACTGCATAAAAACGCAACTTAGGACACACAAGTGCACCGTGTTCCGTAAGAGTCTGAGTAAATAAATGCTCTGAGAAGTTAACCCCAGCCAGTTATGCAAGACAAGTCTCAGTTCTAGAGACCTGCTGCACACACAACATCATGCCTGTTGTTAACACTGTTGCATTGAATACTTAAAACTCTGGTAAGAGGATGGATTGCATGTTAAGTGATTTTACCACAGTAGGAAAGAGAAAAGAAAAGAGAAGAAAAGAAAATCCCAGTCTAAGGATCATTGCTTTATTAGGACCTAAAAGTGTCAAAGATGATTAGTTAGCAAGTCTAACTGTGAAAACAGCCCAGTCATTGGAGTATCCTTATGACTTAGTCTTGCTCTCAGGTTTAGTTACTGGATCTTTATGTCTGTTCCTAAACAGATCAGTAGCCTGTGGGAACTTGCCTGCTACTTATCCCATATATTTGGATTTGACCCTTGCTTGCTTTCACATAATCTTCTGAATGGGGATATTGTAGAGGGGTTCTTTAGTTAGTATGATTTTATTTTTAAGAGACAGTGTCTGTGCCCTCCTTTAACATGCACGAGTGCAGACACATGAAACATACCTGCACGTACTGTTTGCTGCATGCCGGGGGCCCTGGGTTTGATAATGGGTGAAATGTCGAAGGACAGAGCCATGGTTGTCAGTACTCAGTGCACATTAGGTTGACCTGGGAGGCTTTTAAAATCAATGTCTGGGCCCCAGCACCAAAAATTTTAATTCACTTGGTCTGAGGATGAGACCTTCTCCAATGGTATTTTATAGAAGATCTTTAGGTAAATGTTGGGAATCATAAGCATGGAGTAAATTTTCTCGCTGTGGCATCCTTTGGCTTGTAAAGGGTTCTTCTACTCCTGACATTGTCATACGGACTTTGTTGCCTATATAGTCATTTTAATGTAGACTTTGTTGCATGTGACATTTTCTGGAGCAATGACGCAAATAATTTATCAAATCATGAAAAGAGTACGTTATCTTACAGTTAAAAATCATTAGCGCAGAAAGAGGAACACAAAAAGGATAGACCTGCTCTAGATGGCACACCTGTGGGAATTTGAGGTGGAAAGGGAGCAAGCAGTGAAGTCGGAACTCGGGATCAGAGGTAGGAAGGAACACGGTGGGCTGGAGCCAGCTGGCACTGGCTGGGAGAGCCGGCTGTGTTTACTCCTCATTCTGTCTTCTGTGCCATCATGTTGGTAGCTAGAGTGTGGTCCTGGTGGGAGTATTTACACCATAGAAATAGCCAAGGATACACTGTAGTCATCATGAAGGTCAGGGGAGGAGAAGTTTAAAGATACATAAAAGTGCCAAGTCCTGCAGGGCTCCGTTGTCTGGAGGCCTGAGAGCTGCTAGACTATCATCATTCTCACTCTTCAGACCAACTTTGGATCTCATGGGTACAGGCTGCCTGCGACTGCCTGGTCTCCTTGGTTCCATACCTGTTTATTATGTGCCCTCTCCACTCCCCAAGATGCATGAAGGCTTCTGGCCAAGTTCTGGATACATAAAGGGAAGCATCGGAAGAGACAGATTGAGGGAAGATGGAAGAGGGCCCCAAGGTGCCCAGACAGGGGGAGTGACTTGCTTTAAAGTCACACTAGTAATTAATGGCAGAGATAGAACTAGAAACAGGGTCCCCCAACTATGCCCACTGGTACATCTTTTTGAATTATGTTTTTAGAAGTTAGGACTTTATATAAACCATGGGGTGGATGAGGGTGAACCCTCAGAATACCATGATGAGAACTGTACTTTTGGGTCCATATCAGCATGGAGTAAGGGGGGAGGCCAGATGAGGGAGAGGCCACCAGGGAGCAGGGAGGCTGCTTTAGGCCATGTGAGGAGAGCGCTCGGGGATGAGGTGAGCCTTTGCTGACCATACTATAGGGATTTCTTAAGACAGCGGGGGAGAGGGGTGGAAAGAGTATGAGACACAGTGAAGGGAGCCTGGGAAGAGGTAATTTGGAGGTGGGTTGGGGTAAAGACGGGGAGGGAGGGACCAGGTGGGGTGATTCTGCTCCAATGCCAGGGTCATGTAGCTCATCAGACAATTGCCTGCTCCTGTCTTCTGGTTGGCCTGTAGAGGTGGCTGTGGAACGTGTCCAGACGTGGCCCAGACAACACGTGAGACCTTCTGACAGCATTCTGTCCCCACTGCCCGCTCCTCTGCCTGGTGGCAGTTACTGCTCTCCACGATTAGTATGATTTAATTCAACCTTAGAAAAGACCCCAGGGCAAGTACATAATTTGGGTGTTGGACCACGTGTGGTGGTGACTCAGATTCTGGCCATTGCAGGTGTCACTGGCTGACCACCTCCTCCAGGGAGGTGGCAGCTGTCCAAGGAGGAGGACTAGCTTTTGAGTAATTTAGGTGAAGGCAAACTGGTTTTCTTTTAATGTGAGAGTTGTGTGTTTTAGTGTAGTTACAAGGATGTATATTTGGTAAAGAAAAATTAGACTGTGAGAAGAGAGGAAACATTGATACCTTATATTTATTTTTCTTCCTGCATTAACAGAAATAGTCAACATGTATTCCTTTGTTTACAGGTGCTTTCCTGTGGGAAGAATTGGAAGAAGATATCAGGAAGAAGTTAAAAGATTCCGGGGATGTTTCAAATGTAATTGAGAAAGTTAAATGCATTTTAAAAACACCAGGAAAGGTAAGTTAGTTTATTGTGAGTTCGTTTACTTTAACGTTCTCTGAATTATAAGTGGTATACTATAACGAATCTGACATTGAGCCACAAAGACTCAATAATATACAAATGTTTTTCTTCAGTATACTTTTGCCATTTAAATATTTTCCATGTAAACACATTATTTCTCACCATCTCCCATTTTAATTCACTTAAGAGAACTAAAGTATGTGCAGGTCAAAAGTGTACAAAGCACTGACCGGGGGCCCTGCTCAGAAATGCTGCCTGGTGCTCCGGGACGTCCAGGGGCAGGGCAGTCTGGGCGCCGTTCCAGGGTCTCAGAGATCTGTTCGAGCCAGCGATCGGCTAAGGGTCTGTTTTTCATCTAACACAGATTCAGAAGTGTATGTTAGATTCAAAGGTTATAAAACTGCAGACTTTCTGTGTGGTCACATACCTGTGCACATTAAACCTTTCGTCATTTAGATCGTATAGTGTCTGTAAGGGTTTTAAAAGTACCTTTGTTACATTTTAAAACAACAACATTGCACAGTTGAGCCAGTGTATTCTTGTTTCAGACTCTGTGATAAATAAAGTGGCTATAGTAGATAAAAAGGTAAGTGATGTGCAATACCTAGCAAAATATAGGTTTATATTAAATGTAAGAAAAAAATTTTCTTTAATTTTTATACAGATTACTACTATCAGTTATACAACTGAAATTATTAACATTTAAGTTAATATTTTAAAATGTAAAGCTGTACTCGTTTTCGATGAAGATTCCTGACAGTTCTTTAATTGAGAAAAGGGACACTTTTTTAAACAAAGTAACATGGAGTCAAGGGCAAGACCTTCCTTCTCTTGAACCAGAGAAGGTCCTTCTCTTCTTCCTTCTCAAGACCAGTTTCACAGGCGTGCGGCACGGCGGTAGCTCTCCTGCAATCTAAATCAACTAAACGATGCTTTTGTATAAATGTGCACACAGCCTGCATTCAGTTTTCAAAGGTTCTCTGGATAACTAGTTTATAGACCAGTGAAAATGTCTGTGTGCTCTCCAAACTCCTGCCCTTTCATTTAAGGCATAGGTGGCAAGAAAAAAATATATGCATACATATATTCATATACATACATGTATAGTGTACATCTACACAGTATTCATAATATACAAACTCATAACCTTTATATTTCAATGGTTAAGACAGAAATGTTGCCTTTTGTTCTAAGCCACACCTTCCTTGGGTTTGATTCTGAACAGTCATTCCTTTGAGTACTAAGAATAAAATGAATTGTTATTGGGGAAGCAACTGATCAGCTTTCCCTCTCAAATCAATGTTTCTCTCTTTCTCCTTCCCCCTCCCCCTCCATCCCCTCCTCGTGTCCCCCCTCTCCCCCTCTCTCCCTCCTTCCTCTCTAAATCAATAAACATTCTTGGGTGAGGATTTTTAAAAAAATAATAGACTGGATGATTTCTAAGGTTCCTGTTAGCTCTCAAATTTTGTGATGCTTTTGACTATTACTCTCTTTAACGTGTAGCAGTCACCTGAGTCCTTTCCATCAGTTCCTTCCATGTGTATTTGTGGGGGAGACTCTGCCTGCAAGTCCCCCCATCCACCACAGATAAAAGTAACACTACCGAGACATAATCTGCTTGGGGAGGAAAGGTGGCCAATCTCTCAAAGGAGAAAGGCCAAGAGCCTCTTCCTCAATGGTTTTTATTGGGTTGTAATACACAGGAGTACAGGCAGTAAGGATCAAACAGTGGATAACATTTCAAAGAAATCTGAGGGCTTAGTCTGAGTCAGTGTCTGTCAGGTAAGGGGGCTGCAGAAACTTTGGGAGACATACTCATTCCCTGCTTGGACCCTTATCATATGAATGAAAGCACTCTTAACAAAGCAGGCTTCACAGGACTTTTAGGAACTCTTTCTTATGCCCGATCACCCCGGATCCCACTCTAGCCAGCAAGAGCCTGCACCACCTCCTCCATCACAGGTTTTCAGGATTAAGTGGATTAGAGCCAGGAAGAGCTTCTCCCAGAGGACATGGGGACTCGGGCTATGTCAGAATAGCCAACGGGGCAAGGGTCCATCACTCCCTTTTTGTTGCAGCCCCCCAAGTCCTTCCATGATGTCCTCCCAAGTGATCGTGTCTGGCTTAGGTTTCCCCCACTCTGAGGGGTTGTACCCATCACTGACTAACTAACCAAGCATTGGGGGCAGGGGATGAAGCAGAAGCAGCGCTGCTTCCAGAGACAAGCTTTGTCTCCTAAGTGACTCGCATTCCGAAGGTTGCTCACTCAGCCTTAGCCACCGGGGCAGTTACAACTCCTGAAATCAGACAGAGCAGTTCCCAACATGTACTAACTTGTATAATGTACAGAATCAGAGCAAAGATAGCATTCTAGAGTGTTTTCTTTTTCCTTGTGAGGAGGGGTAATATTGTTTTCTCCTCACCAAATATTTGAACTTCCCACCATAGTAGATTTATCCAGAGTGGAGAGTAGGTGATCCTTATTCTTAATGCTGAAGTTGTATGCTTGTGTTTTTTTCCGGCATAAATCTTTATTCTCCAGCTAGGCAAGCAGAGGTCAGAGTTCACCACAGGCTGAAGTGGTGAGATTCATCAGGGGAAATGGGTAGAAGGGGGAAAGGCAGGAGGGGCTGGCCCTTGACTCCTGAGAAGTCAGAATGATGGCAGAAATGGCAAACCGAGCACCAGATCCTGAGCCGGGAGCCGAGGAAGGCTGGAGACCAGCAGGTCTGACGGAGGCCACCAGCTAGAGTGAGCGGGTGTGAGAGGACAGACCAGTGCAGTCCTGTGGGAGGTTCTCTGGGCTCCACATCAGAGACCCAGCAGGCAACCTTTCATAGATTCCAGCAGTCCCCGCTGAGGGTGTTTAGAATTGTAAAATTGTAGATTATGGTGGAAGTGAGTCAAGTCATCACTCTTGGGTGTTTTAATACTGGTCTAGTAGGACATGGTGTGATAAGGGGAAAATGGGTACTTGTCTTAAATGCAGATTGAATTTTTGTGTATGTACTTTCTGAATTAGTGAACAAACGAGCAGGTTGCGTTTGTAAACATTTTTTCTAGGTTGGATGGCTGTTGTCTGTTTCCCAGGTAACAGAGAACCCCAGGGATTCAGAGCCCCAGGGCCTCTCAGCCCTGGAGTCCAGTTCTCACTCAGCCCGAGCATTCGCTGCTGGGAGTGCACGTGGCACAGTGCCGCTCCCTGACTCGGCACAGACACTGTCCTTGACGGCGAGGTCCCCTGAAAGCTGTGGCCGGGGATCCCAGAGTATATATATATCAGAGATTTTCGTATAACATTTACCCTTGTATTTTTCTTTTCACTTATAGATTAATTGCCTAAGGAATTGCAAAACCTATCAAGCCAGAAAACCTCTGTGGTTTTATAACACTTCCCTCAAGTTTTTCCTGAATAAGCCAATGCTTGCTGATGTTGTCTTTGAAATACAAGGTATGCTTCATTTTTACAAAGTTTATTATTGACTTTTATTTCTTGTTTTCTTACCTAACCTACTTCAGCTTTGGATATTTTGGGTGTGAGAGTGACATTTCTCTATTGAAGGAAATAGATTAACACTGAATTTCAACAAAATCTTCTAGAGAATGAAGTATTTTATTAAAATAAGAAATGCAATTTATATCTTCTTAGTTTTTTTCTTACTATATATTTCACTAATATTTAGGGGCCAACAAGGGATGGGGTGATCTTTAATATAAACCCATTATAAATATTTTCGTTTGTGTATTTCTTTAAGATCCTAGTTTTTGAATCATGTGAAACCAGCTTCCTTAAAATTATATTACCTCTGGCTTATTCTCTTCCACCCTCTTTCTTTTTATTTGAGCAAAAGCAGCTAGGCATGGGCAGAGCCTCAGGTCTGGCTCCCCCCCGCCCCCATGGGCATCCATCCGTGGGCACTGCTGCAGTTACTCCTCCCAGCACCAGAACTGTCCGTCACCAGGGCAACTGGGAGCTGCTTTTTATCTCTGTAGGAGAGTGCTGCCACCTAAGTTTCATTAAGATGAGCTGAAATAATGCCCATTATTGATTATGCACTTGGATAATTTTGTCACTTTGGTAGATTAAAAACATAATCCTAAAAATGAAATGTCAGCTCCCTTCAATTATGCAAGGATAGAAGGGGTAGTTTTTAAATGAAATAAGTACAACTTCAGGTGGGCTATTGCTAAAAGGAATATATAATTCTATTTTATGGTAGAAATGTATGCAGCTAACAGTCATTTACTTTTTAAAATTTTTCCCCGGAAAGATCCATTTTACTTTTAAGTTTGGCCATTTACCAAGTCAAGAAGTGACTTGGAAACTACCCAGAGCGCCTTCTAATGAGTTACAGTCAGCTCTGTCTGCAGCGTGAGCTGGCGACACTGAGAATGGGACAATAAGAGTGAGCTTGGAGTACATAAAACCCAGTTTGGGATAAAACAAAGCTAACAAGACACTAAATTTGCTTATTTGCATGAGAGTTATTAACACCTGCTTTTAATTTGATAGGAGGCACTGACACCAAACGTTGTATTAGTGTAAACCACTGAAAAGATTTTCACAGGGAATATGCAACACACAGAAATATGTTACATAAGAAGAAAAGAAATAAGCAGCGATGTGGAGAAGCCTTTCTCCTCATAATCTCTTGCTTCTTCCCCTTGATTCCACCTGTGGACCCTTGCATGCCCCTGTTCATGCCCCGCCAGTGCAGAGGAGGGGGTCTGCAGGGCTGGGGGGGGGTGTGCCTGTGCAGATGCCCAGCCGCTGTGGCACTCTGGCTCCTCTCCAGCTCTAAAACCAAGGCCTTCCAGGGAGTCAGGAGCAAAGGGAAATGGGATGGGTGGAAGCAGGTCCAGCGGCAGTTTCTCTGGCATCCCCTGGAGGAGAAACAAGCCTCACTTATAAAGAATATGGGGCAGGCAGCTGCCAGGGTGTAGAGGGCAGTAGTGCTCTCTCTTCCTGAGGAGGCTGAGCTTGTTCTGAAGCCCTGGCTCCAGCCTTGGCTTTGCATCCCAGCCAGTGTGTGTCGTGGGCAAGTCACTTACCACGTCTGGCCTAAGTCTTCTCATTTGCGAAGTGAAGAAGAAGGTAACCCATAGAGATTTGGGGAAGGTCCTTTGTAGTGTTAAGCTTGATGAGGTGGGAGTGGAAAGGCCTGGTTCAGATCTTGCTTGGATGCTTATCTACTATATAATAGGTTTGCTGTGTTGCTCTACATTTCTGATCCTTTGTTCCCTCACCTGTAAAATGGGTTCCTCATTTCCACCTGGCAGGGTGGTCACAGGGAGTGAGGCGGTGTGTACAGAGGTGAAGCTGGAGGCCCGCAATGGCAGCCAGCACAGGCAGATGAGGCGCTGTGTCCTCCTGCACCTAGGGCCTCCTCCCCCTTCTCTTCCAACATTCCAGGCCATCAGCAGCAGCTGGCTGGAGGTGACGCAGGATATAAAACCTGTGTCCTGTCCCTGGACTAGACAGTCATCAAAAATACCCCCCCCCCAGTTTGTTGTTTGGGCTTGTATCTTTTCCCATGAAATAATTTCTGAAGAAGGTACCGTAGCAGTTCTAAAACTAGTCTTGGTAAACACTCAAGCCTGATGTAGAAAGACGTGAATTTCCATTTGACATTTGAATCTTTGCCTCGTGAAAAATACTTTTACATTCTGTTCCTGTTTACTTAAGTAGCGCATATTCTAAATCTCTCTTGAGTGAGGCAAGTTTTCTATTTTCAGAATAAAACAAAGAACATTTCTAAAAATTTTATTTTTAAAACTTGGTAAGCAGTGTGAAAAGGAGTGATAAATATAGCATTTTATTTTAGCATATAATAAAAATCTTGGATAATCAATGTAAAATTTCTAGAAAACTTGGGCTTGTACATTTTGTTTCACTCTTATAACCCTTTTCCTTTAAAAAACTTTTTCTTAAAACTGTAACAGCAATTAGATACTACAAAGGAAAGAAACTTTAGGCCTTGACATTTTCAAAGAGCATGTTTATCTTTTAACTAGAAAAACCGATGTCTTTTTTCCTCCCGGAGCAATTCTTCAGCTCTGCCCTGTTGCTGTGTAGTGTGTAAACACTGCATGATGTTTACTTAGCAAGTTTGTACAATGTTTGTATACTGATACAGTTTATGTACAATGTTCAAAAATGTGGCCAAACTGAGGTATTGTATTACAGTTTCACAGTACAACAGTTTATAATACTAAAACAGTAGTTTGAAATGGTGAGAAGCAGAGGTATCTGATATATTCTTAACTGAAGGTATAATGGTTTTCTAAACTAAATTCTAAGGTTGAAATTGACTAAAAATACCCTAAGGTATTGAACGTTTTGTTGCTGATTTTGTAACTACATTGTCAGTGGAAATTTTCTATTAAAATTTCTCCAAGGCTACTTATCAAAGTCCTTCCCCATCTACTATCCACTTGGCATTTTTGGCCAATCTTAAATCCCTCTGTTTAACCCAAGTGAAAGGTTATCTAATTTGTTTATGCCATGCTTCTAATTTTCCTTTTTTCCCCCCATGGCACCCAATTCAAGATATTAGAACCTTGAAATTGCAAGTTAAATTGCACTACCTGTTTGAGTTCTTTGTTAATTGCTGTATACATCTGCATACATATTACAGTGTCCTCTGAGTAAAGAAGCTGGTCATTCTGTAGATGGACACTGAGGGCAGGCAGCCTCCAGGCAAAGACATGGGGAGGAGGAAGGACAGGGAGGAGGGGTGTCTGCGAGCAGGTGTGTGCCCACCTGGAGGATGCGCACTGTGGCCCTTCTCCCTCCCCTGTGGGAGGTGCCTGTGCAGATCACAGTGGGGGCAGTGAGCTCAAACCAGCCATGTTGGGAGCTGCCTCTGACTCCTGAGGGGTTGGTTAGTAGCTCTGGAGGAAGCCACTGGGCTTAGATGGAACTCTTTTCTGAGCCAAAAGATGTTTTGCTTGGCTTTGAAGAGAGTGAAGAAACCAATAATTGTAAATATTTTAGAGAAGAGTATGAGATTTTAGGGATGCATAGGTGAAGACTCTTGGTCACAGGAGGGTAGCTTGGCTCATAGAGTTACTTTCCAGAAGGTGACATCGTTGTCACTCACACTGGCTGTGGCATCTTCCACCAAACTAAAAGCCTGGCTTCTCTGAAGCCAGGTAGCTTGTCTTTATCATCTTCATATCTGTGCTACTTAAGTGGCAGGTGCTGGATAATGATTTGTTGAACGGATGTAGACGACACTGAAGGCTGGCTGTGGATTCCTGGTTTCCTAATATGGGGAGAATAGTAAGAACGGCTTCTCTGCCCACAAGCCCCAGGAGACACATGTCCCTTCTGGAGTCTGCTGTGTTGGCACAGTTGCCGGAGAAGAAGTTTTTACTAGAGAGTCAGTTTAGTTTAATGAGCTTCGGTGAGGGGTATGGGCTGAGAGGTCTTTAATATTTGCAGCAGCTCTGGCTCTCCCAGAAGCAGGCGTTGCTCATTTAGGAAGCAGAGGTTCCCTGGGGAGACAGCCAGGGAGACTAGCCATCCCCTCCCCAATTTTCTGTAAGATCTGAAGTGCTCTCCTTGGCTCCACAAAGATGCTGATTCGGCCAGTGATGTTTTATTTCCTGTGTCTGCTAAGGGGAAGCCTGGCCAGGACTGTCCGGTGAGTTGGCCAAGAGAAGAATGGCATTTTTTTTTCTGGAGGCACTTGGGCAGGGTGGGTGGTAGTGGTACTTGAGGCCAATTGGAAAGGATAAAAGGATAGGTGTTTCTTATAAACACGTGAAGCAAAAATTGTTCAGGGTTTCTATCACCAAGAAATATAAACTAGTAACAAATAATTGCCTGACTTGCAAATTGTTGGTTTTAAAGCCAACTTTCGAACTCTTTATTTTTCAGTGAAAAACTAAAAAGTCTCTGAATTAATGCTGGCCATTGCCCCCAGATATGGTTTCCATGGATCAGCTTAGCTGTGCCTCATGCAGTAGCAGTCTTATCACAGGGAAGTTGCCAGAGTAATAACTCTGCCAGCCCGTCTCACTTAACTTTGTTTCCCTTTGGAACCACGCAGGTACGACGGTGCCGGCCCACAGGGCCATCCTGGTGGCGCGCTGTGAGGTGATGGCAGCCATGTTTAACGGGAATTACGTGGAAGCAAAGAGCATTCTGATCCCAGTTTATGGTGTTTCCAAAGAGACTTTCTTGTCCTTCTTAGAGTACTTATACACAGACTCCTGTTGCCCAGGTGAGCAGTATAAATAAATGTTAGATAATAGCTAACAATTCTTTCTCTTCTTGACACCTGTTCCAATAAATCGCTTCACAAAAATCTGGTTTCAGCTAGGGTTTATCGGAGACCATCTTGGAGTGTGCTGAGCAGGTGGAAGTAGTGTTGGAACAACAGTGAATTTTCAGTGGGTGCAAGTGGCTGAGCCAGATTGGGAACCTCCTACAGCTCAGACTCTGACGTAGGTTCATGTCAGGTCCCAGGTGGCTCCAGCAGCATGGTGGTCCCTGTGGGCACCCCGGAAATGGAGGGGTCCTGTGGGACCCGGTGGCTACTCCAGTTCTATAGATTGGGACAGAAATGTCCTTGGGGCATTGTCCCTTCTGTGAGAAAAGGTTCAGACGACTACTTTTGTGGCTCTAGAATTTGTTGAGGGCACTTCTGAGGACTTTCAGTATACTGAGGCCTCCTTGGTCATCTCTCTGGCCCAAAGGATGTGGGCTCTTTGAAGGCATTCTTCTGACTTCTAAAGTCAGGCTCTTCTAAAGCTGACTTCTTCGAAATCTTTTTCTAATGTTTAGAATGCCTAATTGACTGAAGACTTTCTTTCCCTATTCATGATTATATTTGAACCAGGAATTAACTGTCTTTGGCAGCTACAAGTTGGAACAGATCTTAACAGGTTTCCACTAGCCAGAGGCAAAAAAGCCTGTGGATGTAGGCACAGAAGACCCCTTTGACAATCTTCCCCCTTTGGCCACCAGAGGGCTCCCACCACAAACGTAACTAGAATAAGGCCCTGGTGGCTTAGTCCGGGCCTGAGACCTTGGTTACAGAATGAGGCCAGGCATCCTAGCAAATATAAAAAGAAACACACTTCAGACCGCACCTCCCTTCAGGTTTCCTCTTTAGATTTTTACATTTGGAAGATATCATGTGTTTGTTATTGTACAGTTTGAAACAAGTCATGAGTGCTCTACTCAAAGGTTTTAGAGCTCCAAAAAAGAAAAGTCGCTTTTAAATTGAACTAATTTAAAGGTCTGGTCTCGCAACTAGCCACAACATTTTGGAGCCAGTTACCGTTCTTACTGTCAGTGGAAAAGACTGGTGTATCGTTTTTGCATAATAAAAACAAAAGCATAAACAGTAGAAACAAAGAAGCAGCTCCTACCCTTTGTGACAGCATGGATGGAACTGGAGAGCATTATGCTGAGCAAGATAAGCCAGGCAATGGAAGACAAATACCGTATGATCTCATTTATAAGAGGAATCTAATAAACAAAATAAACTAATGAACAGAGGAGAATCCGGGGCGTGGAATCACGGAATAACTGACAGCGGTAAGAAGGAAGGGGGCAGGTGGGGGCCCACGGAACCAAGGTGAAGGGATTAGTCAAAGAACACACGTGAAGAGCCCATGGACACAGACCACAGTGAGGGGATTGATTGGAGGTGGGGGGGCTTGGCAGAAGGGGATGTTGGGGGGAAATAAAGGACAACAGTAATAGCATAAACAATAAGTCATTCATAAAAATAAAAATTAAAACATTTGTGAGAGGCAAGCACACATTAATGTTTCCCTCTCTTCCTCCCTCCCTCTCTGTCTAAAAATAAATAAATAAAATCTTTAAAAAATTAAAGCATCGATTCTCATCAAAATGAGTGTTATTGTTTATTTTATTATTTTGATACTGGCAAATATGTGTATTAAATTAAAAACTTTATTGGATTGGAAATATTAAGAAACTTTAGTTTCTCAGTCATCCTCTCCTTAGAGAAATTAAAGCTTTAAATTTTAGATTTTATCTTGCTAACTAGAAAAAATGCTCAGAGAAGCAATAATAACTATAGGATAAAGCCCTTTAAAAATTTGTAAAAGGTATAGGGAGAAAATGAATGAAAATGGATAATCAAAAAGTTAATCTGGATACTAGAATGTTTGCATGGGGAAAATCACAGAAAGAAAAGTATTCTATTCATTATGTTAAACATGCATAGCATTCTTGGTACCTAAGTACAAAAGAATATAAGGAATTTAAGGAGGCATAAGAGAATTACATAAAAAATCAGATATATTCCACAGACAGATGTTATTTGGACAGCATGGATGGGCCTGGAGAACATTATGCTAAATGAAATAAGCCAGCCAGAGAAAGACAAGTACCGTATGATTTCACCCATATGTGGAATCTAATGAACAAACTGAACCGACAAGCAGAACAGAGGCAGACTTGTAGAGAGCAGGCTGATAGCTGTGGGGGGTGCAGTGGGGAGGTTAGGGGTTACAGGGATCAAGGGAAAAGGAAAAAGGACTCCTGGTCATGGACAACAGTGTGGTGCCTGTGGTGGGGAGAGGGAGGTACAAGGGGAATAAATGGCAATGGGGAAAATAGAGTTAAAAAAGAAACAGACTTGTAGGGGGTTGTTAAAAAAACAACCACCAGGGTGATTGCCAGGGCTGGAAGGAAGGGGACATGGGGAGCTATTGTATATGGACCCAGAGTTTTAGTTTGGAATATCATAGAGCTCTGGAGATGGATAGTGGTAATGGATGCACAACAGTGTGAATTTACTTAACGCCAGCGAACTACACACTTAAAAATGGTTATTGGCAGCATGGCGGAGGGGGAATTGGAAGAAGCTGGTCAGTGAATAAGTACTGGAGATGTAATGTACAACATGACTGTAATTGGCACTGCTGTACATCTAGGACAGTTGTTAAGATTATAGATCCTAAGACTTCTCATCGCAAGGAGAAAAGTTTTTTCTTTTTTATTGTATCCGTATGAAATGATGGATGTTACCTAAACCTATTGTGGTAATTAGTATATGTCAATCAAACCATCACGCTGTATACCTTAAACTTACACAGTGATGTATGTCAGTTATTTTTCAGTAAAACTGGAAAAAGTGGTTAGTGGTTTTATGATATGTTTATTTTACACAATTAAAATAAAGCAAATCTGGAACTAAAGCCAGAAGTAGAAGAACTGCAAGGCTTTAGTTTACTTAGAAGAGGGAATGGCCCCATAACTCTGTGACTGATCATTAAGGGCAATGGTCCAGTCTCCCCCTCTGGAGAGATGCAAACAAAAACAACACAGGCTCACGTCTGAGTGTGAAGGCGTGAGTTCTTTTTTAAATGGCGTTTAGAATGCTGACTGCTCCAAGGTTTTTTCCTAGGCATTCTGTTCTACATTATATGACACAGTCAGCATTTTTTGTTTCTTTTTTTGTTATTATTGTTTTGTTTCAGGTCATAAAAGAAACGGTTTTATTGTCCACTTTCTCTTATTTCCCTTTTGCGCATCAGCTGGCATTTTCCAGGCCATGTGCCTCCTGATCTGTGCTGAGATGTATCAGGTGTCCAGACTGCAGCACATCTGCGAGCTGTTCATCATCACCCAGCTACAGAGCATGCCCAGCAGGGAGCTGGCGTCCATGAGCCTCGACATAGTCGACCTGCTCAAAAAAGCCAAGGTAATGGGGCCCTATGCCTCTGCTTATTTGCTTTTCTAAAAATCTCATAAAATTGTATATTTTTAAAATTGCATCTTATTAGGAGATATATTAGTAGCTGTCTTAGAGTGGAAGTTTGGCTAAATGAGGTTCAGGTGCCCTCACAATATGATTTCCATGGCTGGGTAATTTTGAAGATAGGGTTTTTGAGTGATCCCTTTCTAAGGAGGTAGAATTTGCTGATAGGGAATTTCTCAACTAAGTGGTGGCTGTTATTAGAGTCATTTGAATGTGGAGCTATATTGTGTCATGTCAGTGTTACAGGAAATGGAATTTATATTGAATTTCCCCCAGATGATCACATCTTAGGGTTCCTGAAAAGAAAATGACAGGATTGGTCCATTTATACTGACAGATGATTAGGCTGAACTCACTTACTTGTTCATTCATTCATCCACCTCATGAATCTGTTTTTGAAGTTTCATTTGTTTGTAGGAGGTATTGGTGTGCCTCGTTAGTCCTTTCAAACCACCTTTTGTTGCTACGTGTCCTGGTATCAGGAATATATTTGGTAAAAATGTTTGAGTTGGGAATCACTGCAGTACACCAGGCCTTCTGGCCTCTTCTAAGCTCAGGGCCCTTTTGTTTTTAGTAATTGTATTTTGCTGTACATTCTAGGGAACAGACAGAACTTACCCATTCAACTAATTGTCACATATTTACATGGAGCTTGGGATAAAGAGCTACCCTCTAGACTTAATTTAAAAATGCATTTTTATTCTGCCTAGCATTTTCACAACCTCAGTTCATGTTTGATGTACCATCTTCATTCTATTTTAACAAGTCTGTCATACTTTTTAAAAAGGGACACAAACTTCTCTTACAGTACATTTTTAAATAGATAGTTCATACATAAGAAAACTTCCTGTCTGGGTGCACTGATTTCTTTTAATAGGTGCCGCCTCCCCACCAAATACACACACACACACACACTAATCAGCATCATTTAGGGCTGTGTTGTCAGAAATTTTTCCGAACTTCTTTTCCCTGACGGTGTGGTTTCTGATTATGTGATTATACTTATTTTTTCTGTTGAATTTTAAAATTCTAAGATAACTCTTTAAATTTTATTGCTTGTTTCTGATCACTTTTCTGTTTGCTAAGATTAAGCCTACATTTACCAGTTCTTCTCTCTTCTATTGCGGGTGGTCCCTAGTTTGAAATTATGGATCCCAGATAGCAGGATAATCAGCTCCTCCAAGTTCTCTTTGAATTTTCTAGTTTAAGGTTCTACTTTATTAGAGAGTTGATCATGTGGTTGGAATTTAGTTAACCTTTTCCTCATTATTTGTCTGACTTGCTAGGAGATAAAATTGTCTTTTAGCAGATTGAGACTTTGGAGCTCTGTGAGTAGCCGAAATTTCCAGTCCTCCTTTCATCTCTGTCAGTTTTATATTGTTTATCAGGAAAGCATCATTCGCACCTCCAGTCTAGGTGAGCAGCTTTGGTGTTCTCTCACTTCTGCTTCAACTTCCCCCTAAATTCCTTCAGCCCCTTACCTTGATTCTACCTTTAGGTCCGAGTATTTCCATCAAGTTTAACTCTTAACATGTAATAGAGGCTTCTTTCCCTTAATCAAATCAGTTCCTTCAGATTAAGGGAGAGATTTCCTTATCTCTTCTCCCCTTTAAACTCTATCTAGCCAAATTTGTTGATTCCCATGAAGTCCTATTTACTTTCATATTAAAGTTTTCAACTCAACTTCTTTATAATCTGTGCATTATACTTGGCTGCTTCAGGCCATCAGTTTTGTTTCTGACCTTTTCCTATTGAGTTCTTGGTACTTCTCCATTATTATTCTTTATAGAGCTGTTAAATGCTATAGCATTTGGTTGATAGTTTTTTTAATGCCTCTTCTTTTTTATTTTGTCATTTATTTGTCTAAATCTATTTTCTCAGGTCAGCACACATTCTGCCCTAAAAGTAGTTTATAGTGAGATACATTCCATCTCTTGCCAAGAGCCCACAATTATATCTTAAATTTTGGTCAAAAATAAAATTCTTCATTTGAACTATGTTTTTGTAGGCAGCTATTCATTTCTGTGATCTCCCTTCTCTTTGCCAATCACAGCCGTTAGGCAATGTTCTGAACTTTTGTTGGTAGATTATTCATCTAATAGTATTTTTGGCTTCTATTAAAACAGCTACATGTTCTCACCTTACTCCCTTGAGATCATTCAGTTCATCTGCTAAAAGATAAGGTGAAAAAAACATTGTTAAAATGTGATGTGGGAATAGATGACCTATAAATTCTCATACAACTCAAAAATTCTGATTTCGTTTAATAAAAATCAGAGATACCTATGAATTTACATGTTAAAGTATTCTCACATTGTAACTTTCCAAAAGAGAAATATTCGAGTTTCTGTCTTAAAATTTGAGATTACAGCCCTGGCTGGTGTAGCTCAGTGGACTGAGCATCATCAGTTCAATTCCCAGCCAGGGCACGTGGCTGGGTTGCAGGCCAGGTCCCCAGTAGGGGTTGCACGAGAGACATGCAATCGATGTTTCTCTTGCTCGTTGATGTTTCTTCTTTTCTTTCTTCCTCCCTTCCCCTGTCTGAAAATAAATTTTAAAAAAAGATTTGAGGTTACAAATCTTTCTTCAACTTACAATTACTTATTTTTAAATAATAATTTTGAGTGTCCTTAAAAGAGCTATCGTTGGCCTAAGAGTGGAAACAATTTAAATATCCATCAGTAGATGAATGGGTAAACCAAGTGTGTTTCACACACACAATGGAATATTACTCTGCCTCAAAAAGCAGGAAATGTTAATACATGCTGCAACATGGAGGAACCTTGAGGACATTATGCTAAGTAAAATAGGCCAGACAGAAAATGAACAAATACTGTACCATTCAACTTATATGAGGACCCTAGAATAGTCCATTTCATAAAGGTCAAATAAAACAGTTGTTGACAGAGAGTGAGGGTGAGGGAAAGGAGATGTTTTATTTAATGGGTAAAGAGTTTCAGTTTGGGGTGATAAAAAGAGTTCTGAAAATAGATAAAGGTAATGGTTGCACAATAATGTGAATATACATAACGCATTGAACCATATACTTAAACATGGTAAATTTTATGTGTACTCCAACCACAACAATAATAAAAAGAACTATACTCATGTACCAGAGTTATCTGATAGCAAGTTATTGTAATCTGAATTGGGTGGTTAGCTGGATCGGTGAGTATCACTGGATTGGTCCAAGGTGATGATGTCATGGTCAGGTTGCTCTAAGTTCCCCCTCCATTAAGGTCAGAATGAGAAATATGCTGGGAATCCTGTTCAATGTAACAGTATTTCTGAGTTAAAAGCAACTATTCAAACATACGTTCTCACAGAAATATTTATGCTTTGCCGCCCATAACCGTAGGTGGATGACGTTTCCCCCTCAAAATAATTTTTGGCTTTCTCGTTGTGTAGATTTGTTTAGATATGGCCAAGTATATGCCTTTGCTAACCATAATCTTATATCTCTGCTACACAGACATAGGTGCAGTGAGTGAAGGCCATGACCTTAGATGAAAAGCTTAAACTAAACCCTCAAGAACCTCAAGAATAGTCTTTGTGAACCATGAATGCAATCATACATCTGCTTCAAGATATCTAGCCACTGCAGCAGCAGTAGCTTGTGATTCATTTGATTCCGTTCATTCATTGTTGTGATTTTATTAGTATGTGTTATTAATACTCCTTTTTTCTTTCCATTGTCAGAGTAGTCTGAAGGCTGCATCAGACACAGACACATGGAACATGGGTTTGGGCTCTCCATGAGGTCTCCCAGACCACCCTCTCCAATCCAGTCATCAGAGTGCTGGTCATTGTGTACGATGCTGTTTCACTCTCCATTTTTCTTGCAGTTTCACCACTCTGATTGCCTTTCAACCTGGCTACTTCATTTCATTGCCACTAACTACCTCATCTTCAGTCAAAAGCCTGAATTTCAGGATCTTTCAGGTAGATTGCCAATTACTGTGTTGAAAGAAAACTTTGTGTTGTTTGTTCTTATATTTGGGACATAATTTGTAGGAATAGTGGTTTTTAAAAATTAAAAGGTCAGTGCAATACATTCCTTTTACATATGCAGAGTGGTACCTGAGGATACATTAACTAGTCACCCGTGCCGTGTAAGTAGCTTTGTCTGTATTACACAAGAAGTTTTCTAATGATGAGAGCACCCATGATTTTTAAATGCATTTTTCCCTGAAGTGTAGAGATAAGGTAGCCTCAGGCAGCATTTGGAGTTGATACAAAATATCTTGGTTTTATCTACCCAAATCAGAAGCAAAATTTAAGCAGTGCAGATTGAAAAACGTTTTTATTGTAAAGAAATTGTAATTGTTGTATATTATTTATAATATATAGTTCTATTGTAGCGATATCTCTATTAAGTGTATCTATATGGGAATTTACCGTATTACCTCAGAATAACAGTTTTGTGTAGATCAAAGTGCTGCAAAGCTTACTGACCCTGGTCGGGTAGTTCAGTTGGGTAGAGAGTTGTCCTGATGAGCCAAGGTTGCAGGTTCAGTCTCTGGTCAGGGCACATACAAGAATCCACCAGTGAAAGCGTAAATACATTGAACAACAAGTTGATGTTTCTCTCTTTGTCTCTCCCCTTTCCTTTTTTTCCCTAAAATCAATAAATAAAAAGAAATATTTTTTAAATTTACTGAGCGGCGAGTATGCATAGTGTGATTTTAAAGATAAATTATAAAGATTAAAACAAATCAAAGGTTGAGCTTCTCAGTTGTTACATAAGAGGAAATAAAAATGAAAATAGGCTAGTTATCAGGGTAGATAATCATTTTAGTACAAAGAACTGCTCATGTTATTACCTAGAATAGACTCAAGAAATAAACTAGAAGGAAATTAAAAGATCACCTAGTGAAGTAAATTCAGACTCTAAATGGAGAACTCTCCTTGGAAATGCCTGAACGTCTTCTGAGGTGGGGCAGAGAGTGCGGAGTGGGTACAGGAAGAGGAGGGAGTGAAATGAGGGAAGAGAAGGCTACATTTACACTTCTTGGAGTTTTTCCCTCTCGCCTTCAACCAGAGCAGTCTGCTTTATGTCTTAGCTTTCTACATGTATTTTACTTGTAAAAGAGAACCTGCTGCTAAAAAAAAAACCCTGAAAATCTCTGGTTTCATTTGGCTACTTGTTGTACAGTTAAGGAAACCAAAACATAGAGTTTTTGGCAGCTGTCTTGGCAGACGTTCAGCCAGTCAGCAAACACTAAGTGGCTGCTGGCAGCCTCTTCACATAGAATTCAACTCTTAGTGTCATAGGGGAACATAATAAACCAAAGCAGAACAATAGATATTTACTAACCACTTACTTTGTGCAAGAAATGAACAAAAAGTCCATCCATAAAGATAAGGCATATTTCTGCTTGCTGTTCGTTGGTAGGGACATTCTTAAACAGTTATTTTTTTCAGAAGTCAGTTGAAATGAATGGACATTTTGATTTTAGAAGCACCTTCATTTTGCCGCCTCAGTTTACCTCCATTTGAAAACAAAGAATACAGTTATTTTCCCACTTACTACCTTGCAAAAATGTATGATACACATGGAGAGTGCTGTTACAACCTTGGGAGAAAGATCTCTGTAAATCCTTTGAGCTGTTAATTTTGATTTGATTTTATTACTTACACAGTGCTTTATAAGTATGCTCTGACCTCCTGACATAGTGAGAAGCAGGCCCCCAGGGTGTATTTGACAAGGCAGGGCAAGGAAATGAGGCTGCATCAGTGATTGTCTTCTACTCCTTTGCGGGGAACTACAAGGTATCACAAGGGCTCTGAACCAGTGGGACCTGCTCTGTCGGGACCTGCTGTGACCGTCCTTGGGGCAGAGATAAAAAAGCCTCTGTGGATAAGGAAAATTTGATAGTCTGAACAGGTGGTCACAAACTGGTAGTCTGTGGGTTGAATGTAGCCTGCCAAGGGGTTTTATTTAGACCACATGGTTTTTGTTTTGTTTGTTTGTTTGTTTGTTTGAATTTAGTGTCAGCATTTAAAAACTATAACATTGTCACTTTAAAAAAAAATCCAAAATTTTGGCCTCTTTTGAAAAGTTGTAAGATCCAGCTGCTCTGGGCCCATCTTCCCACACGACACCCCCTGGGAATAAGCAGTGGCTGCCTGTGTAAAGGAGCATGTCCTCCAGACTGTGACCGTCACTTCTCCTCTCTGTTGCCTCACACGTGGTCTACTCCCAGTGCTCACCTGAAGTTCAGGAGGGTTCTCGTCACAATCACTCTATAGCTTTCCTAAAGAATTGCCTGTTTTCAGTTTCAAAGATTATCAAATTAGTATTAGAATTGTTTTCTCTTAACTGAGAATTTTACTTAGAGTTATTTAGAAATTCAAAGGTGAGACTGGAAAAGATCTCATCAATTCTGGCACAGATGCATCAGAACTCCATTAAATAGCTCATTAACTGTTAGACATTTTCTATACTGGACTCATGGAGACAAACAGCAATGCACAGGAATATAAGTTACCGGCATTATGAAATCATTATTCTAGTTTTATTTAGCTGAATGTTACACATTTTATATTATAGAGGGTATTTTTGTCTTGTTTTGTTGGTGGTGGTGGTGTTGGCCAGAGCTCATCTGTGATAACTTTTTTATTTTATCTTAACTGAAGGAGCAGTTCTATATTACCTTTGCATCCTAATGAAACTAAAATGAGTTTCCCTGAGCAGCTAATTCAGTTCTTGTCTGGGCCCCACAGCCTGGATCCAGACCTCGTTAGTCCAAGTTAGGGTGGCTGGAGAGGTGGGGACCGACTTAGCAGGAGGAAGCCTGAGTGCCCGCAGAAGGGAATAATGAGGAGAAACAAGCTGATTCGCCCAGCGAAATAACAAAAACCTTCAACATCCGAGGGACCAGGTGTTTTATAAAGCAGAATGAAGCTTGGGGCCAAAAGCAGTACAATAACTTAAATGTTGATTAAGACACTTTTACCACACACCATACCACCCAGGCTTCTCCTTTATCATCACTGGAGATAGGAGGCTCATTACTGAATAAATGAAACCAAAAAAGCTATAAAATCATGAACTCTGAACATAGTTGAGATTAGGCAGGGAGCTGGACTGAAAACATGGGGCTTAGGCGAAAGTGTGCACATTTCGTAGTAAACATCCAGCTTCCTTCCTCTATCCAGACTGTAGAATTCTGGCAGCCACATATTTTCTACCTCTATAGCCTGGGCACAGAATTAAAGCATCAGAGGGAGGAAAAGGTCCAGTTGCGATCATCTGGGAATTCTTTTGATGAACCCAACATTAATCTGCTTAGTTGTGCTTCAGTGTATTCATTCCACCAGTCAGCAGGTCTAGCCCCTGCCCCAAAGATTCCCAAACAGCTTTCCAGCATCTCACTCCTCAATAGAAAGAGATGACTGAGAATCAACAGATATATGGGGCAGTGTCCAGCCTTAAAGATAGATACCTTTGCCATTTGCACAGAATACTTCCCTTCTGACACTTCTGCTTGCCGGTGTGGGGGTTTTACCCCACCCCAAGCAGTTCTCACCACCAGCTGGGTGACCTACCATCTAACTCAGTTCTGACACTGTACCTGCAGATGGTGAGAGGGTCAGATCCCACAGGTTAGGGGCTCAGTCCCACAAAACTGTCTCCCACCTCACTTTAGACACCAGTTGCAATTTCAGTATTTCCGACCAATTGGTTATAGATAAGAGGTTCCAATGACTCCTTCCTTGGGTTCAATTAATTTGCTAGATTGGCTCACACACTTAGCTAAGTTTACCAGTTTATTAAAGGATACAGATGAGCAGCCAGATGAAGAGATGTATCGAGTGAGGTCTGGGAGGATCCCAAGTGTGGGAGCTTCTGTCCCAGTGGAGTTGGGGGCTTGGGGCATCATCCTCTGTACATGGATGTGTTTACCAACCTGGAAGCTCTCTGAATGGTGTAGTTTTGGAGTTTTATGGAGGCTTCACTGTATGGGCATGACTGATCATGAACTCTACTTTCAGTCCTTTTCTTAAGAAAATGTAGGGGGCAGCAGGGAGGCATGGCTGAAAAATCCAAGCTTTTAATCATGGCCTTTCAGTGATCAGCCCTCATCTGGGAGCCCAGCCAATATTGCCTCATTAGAATAAATGACACTTTATCACCCAGGAAATTACAGGGGTTGCAGGAACCTTGAAACAGGGGTTAAAGACCATGTATTAGAACAAAAGACTCTCCAAGTGCTCTTATTGCTGAGGGAATTACGAGAGTTTCAAGAGCTCTAGGCCAAGAACTGGGTACAGAGGCGATTACATATGTATGTTTTCTATTATCTCACAAGAAGGAACTTAGAGGAATAAAGAGACACAAAGAATAGAAGAAAACCTTAAAAAACCCTTTAAAACTATCCTCTAAGACTAAGAAATGTACACCCATAAAAAGCGGGGATAGAATATTGCTAAGGAGAAATAGCAGCAAGGGTGGGGGGCGGAGCTGTTGGTCGCTAGGCAGAGTTTCAGTGTTGCAGTTTGAAAAGGGTTCTGCAGCTTGGCTACACAGCCCCGTGAATGTACTTAAGGTCACTCAGCATACACTGTGCACTTAAAATAGTTGAGATGGTTTATTTCATGTGTATTTTACAATTTACAAAAAGCCGCAAAAGAATACGTCATTCTTGGAAATGTGAAATATGATAGCGAAAACACAATAAAATAGTTGAAAAATTAAGATAACGAAATCTCCCAGAAAGCAGAACAAAAAAAAAAGATAAGAAAGAAAGTTAAAAAAAAAAAAGAAAAACTTGGGGGCTCAATACAGGAGGTAAAGATCCTGAATGATAGAAGTTAGTACAGGGGAAAAAAAACAAGAGAAAATTACCAAGAAATGATACGAGAGGTTGTCTATCCCAGTAGTGAAGGCCTTGGGTCAGCCGAGTGCAAGCATCTGCTAAGTGCTCAGCTTAATGAACAAGATACGCCATTGAGACCTGTAAAAATGCCACTGTAAATAGAAAAAAATTGAAAACATTACAGGATAAAAAAACACACATATTACTTACACCAAGGACTATGAATCTGAATGGTAGTGGAGTTCTTAGGAACCCTGGCAACTAGAAAGCAGTGGTGTGCTGTCTCCAACATTCTGAGACAGTTTTAACCGAGGATTCTATACCAAACCAAATCATAAATTGTGTGCAAGGATAGATTGAAGTCATTTCATCATAAGCAAAAATACTTCTGATGTACCCACTTTTTTCAGGAAGCTATAAAGCAGAGGTGTCAAACTCATTTTCACCAGGGGCCGCATCAGCCTCGTGGTTGCCCTCAAAGGGCCGAATATAATTATAGGACTGTGTAAAAGTAACTACTCCTTAACCAGGGGCAAGGAGCTCGGCGCTGTCGCCAGGTAGAAACAAGGTGCCGGGCTGAATAAAATGAGGTGGAGCACCAGATTCAGCACGCAGGCCTTGGTTTTGCCACCTGTGTAATAAAGGTTCTGCTTCACCAAAACTAGAGAATAAACAAAGTGAAGGACTGGAGTCCAGAGTGGAGGGATCCAGCACAAAAGCAAGGAGCAAGCCTGGAGAGAGAGCAGTAGGATGCAAGCTCTGAGCAAAAGGTCCCCAGGGCAGCAACAACAACAACAGTGCAGGAATGCATAGATTATTTGATAACTCTGGCTTGGTGTAAGATAAAACTGAGAGAACTTTAAAGAGTTTGGAAGGTTACCCTGGCCTGTGTGGCTTAGTTAGTTGGGGCGTCATCCCATAGACTCAGAGGTCTCAGGTTTGATTCCCTGTTAGGGCACATACCCAGGTGTGGGTTCCATCCCTGCTCAATTGTGCGTGAAAGCAACCAGTCAATGTCTCTTATGCATCAATGTTTCTCTCTCCCTCTACCTTCCTCTCTCTCTAAAAGCAATGAAAACAACCTTGGGTGAGGAAAAAAATTTTTTTGAGAGTTTGAAAGGTTGAGTTAGCTACAAAGAAAAAAAAAACCAATTAAATGAAGAAAATCGAAGCAATGGACAAGATGTATCTTAGTGACTGATTTAACCAAAATTGTATTCAATGATTTGGGAAGGCTTGAGGGAGGTGTAGAGAGTATGTAATAGAGCTCGGATGTCATCTATTAAATAGGAAACTAATAATTAATGCCTAAACTTGACCCCAAATAAAATATATTCAATTAACTTTTTTTTTTTCTAAAAATTTTAGTGGAAGAACGCAGTTTTGTTGAAAAGCACAGATGGCCATCGAATTTGTACTTGAAGCAGCTTGCGGAATACAGGAAGTATATTCACTCCCGGAAATGTCGTTGCTTAGTGATGTAACCTGGCGCTTTTGTATACATACACTTTTCAAAAATATTATTATGAAGAATGGGATACCTCTGGGTTCCAGTAAATTCTTGTGACTGAAACATGGGCGTTAAAAAACAAACAAAATATATATATATATGAATATATATATATATTATGGTGTTAAATATTACCATACAGCTTAATGAGTTTACTAGCTCTCTTTGACAAAAACTGTTGTGATCCTAAAAGGGAACAGCATACACCATAGGCTAAATCTAAGGCTTTACCCTAGTGTGTAAAGCTGTTATACAGCTACTTACCCCCTTGAAGATGGCCTATTGCTTTAGTAACATTAATACCCTCCCCAGTTAAGAAATGTGTAGCTTAAAAAAATCATGTAGGATTAATACTGATATTTTATCATGTCTGATTAATTGCTCTGTTAAAATAAGGGGCATTTAAAGACCTAGTCTGACTATTTCTGTAATGAAAAATCTAGGGGAAGACTGACCAATCTGAGACTTTAGGAATCAAAGGTTGTCTGCAATTTTGAATGTGAAATGACACTTAGTTCCAAATCAGTGACAGCGTTTGAACGATCATGAAAAAAAATTCTGTTTTTTTATCTGAACAGCCCAACTGAGCCACTTTGTCTCCTCCCTGGGATTCCGATTAGGCAGGAAGTCTGAACAGAGATGACTCTACAGCCACGCCACCTGTGCAGGGGGACAGGGCTACAGGCTTAAATGGGCCCCTGCCTGTTCAGTGCTCTTCTGTCACTGCCTTGACATTCATAATAATGTTTGAAGAAGGGCCCTGCCTCTCCACGTGGTACTGGACCCCCCCAATCACGTCAGTCTCGTAGCGGGATAGGTACTACGTTTTCTCGCTCAAACATCCGTGTCCCTGGACGCAGAAAAGAGGTGCTGCTGTCCGGGGAAGAGCAGAGGCTTTCTGAAGGGAAAGCATGTGGGGGGGGGGGGTTCTGGGATCTCTCGGGAGATCCATCCCACCCAGGGCCTCTGCTGCCACTTGACCGACCAGTGAGAAACGCCTTCTGTTATCTTGTCTTTAAACACTCACGGTTCTATGTCTGTCACAGCCCAGCACATACTTTCTCATTCATTCTGAAAGGCCAGGGTATTGGTAAAAGTGACTGACCAGTGGGACTTTAATATGTATTTATAAAGATACTCATGGGAAAAAGTGCTTTTTTAGAGAACTTGCTGTTGAAGCCTCCGATGTTTTTGTTTTAGTGTGTTTACTAAGATTAGGATGTTGGTAGCTTGGATTGTTTCTGAGGACCACAAGGTTATTTGATGGGGAGTAGCATGAATTTTGTCCTTCCAGATTACCCAGTGAGTAAAAAGAAAGGCTAGAAGTGAAAGGCTTGTTACAAGTAGAGAAAATGGTACTAGGATAGAGGACAGAATTATAAATTCTCTTGTATTGCGTGTGAACAGAATAATTACACTAGAAACTCACAAACAGAGAGAGGGCAAACCTGATTACTATTACTGTGCTATTGTTAGTGTCATTTTCATCTGTAAAATAATTCAGTGGTGGATATATTTTTCTTCTAATTTCCAGCTATTTTAGAATATGTATAGTTTTCCAACTGCTCCAAGGTTTGATTAAACAGTTTTATACTACAGTATTGGAATCACACACAGTTAGTCCTTGGGTGCACACCAGCACTGTCAGACTGAAACAATGAAATTTCCCTACCTATTTCTTCCAAGAAACCTGATTTTAATTGAATTGTGTTGGTGAAGATTACTATAATGCATTTGATGGTTTTTGTATTTTAATCACTTGAGTGAATCAGCTGTTGGCGAATCCCACTTGATATGGACCAGCATTGTAAAGAATAGAGACTGTGGTAGATTTCTAGAAATCCATTCACATTCAAGAACTTTTAAAATGCAGTGATAGCATTTGGTTCTTCATAGGCTATTCTTACCCCTATGTTAATTAGAGCGCTTAAAGTTCTAAATCAGTAACTTTTAATCTAGGAAATTGAAAAATAAAAGTTCAAAAGTAAGATATATTCTTGCAAATACTATTTAACATTTAAAGGGACCACAGCTAGTTTTTTGGTTGTGTGACCGGAACTGAACTGCAAGGTGGTGTTCTGTGGGTGCTCAGCGTGCGGTTTTCGTGAGGAAAGGCCTTCACCATCTGCACAGAAGTGACAGCTCACCAGAGCTGGGCAGAACAGTGACCACATGAGTTTTTAAATCTAGATGAAAACTTCTGAATTAATGGAATTTAAAATAACAAGGCATTAAAAAATAAGCTGTCGTGGAGAAGTGAGTGCTCTTTTGATTTTATTTTTAATTGAAAGCCTATTTCTCGATGAATGTGCGCTCTGTGCCGACGTATTTGCCAGCTATTTTACTTAGAGAAGATGCTGTTTGGTGGGACTAAATCCTTGTCCTTCTGGGCCAGGTTTTCACCTCGTAGAACCCTTTGCATACTTCTGACTGTTCTGTGTTCATAGTATAGGAGAGTAGGCTTGTAATATAAAAGTTGCAGTAACGTGCCTGAAATTCATCCAGTGCAGGCCAGCACGGCAGCTGCATATGGGTAGTAGCAAGGAACTGAAGAATTGGGTAAATCTGACCTTCAAGACTGAGAAACTTTTCAACTATGATTTTTAAAGACTACACTACACTGATACAGTTAATTATACAAAAGTATCTTCAAGAGTATTTTATTTTATTTAAAGCATCTGTTTAATTCAATCTTTAATAATTTTGCAAGGAAGGGTATGTGTGTATTTTAATATAGCCTGATCTGAATTTATATGTTTTTAGCTTTAGTATTTAACATTTTGTAACAAATAAACCTTTTTTAAAAAACAAGTTTACCACAGTGTTCTATAATTATTTTATCTTGGATGTTGAAATGCTGGAATTAATTTGTGAATATTGCCTTGTGTTTTTCAAGTAAAATTATGTTGCACAGAAAATTTCCATTACGTGTAAAATTTTTAGAGAATTGCTGATATTATAGATGAATCATATGCACGTGATTAGAGAAAAATTATATCATAGCTTATATAAAATATTCTATTTAACAGTTGTTACAGAATTTTTCTTAACAAAATAATTGCCTTTATTTACAAAAAATTTTTTTGATAATTATTTAGCACAGAAGTGAGTCCTCCCACTTGCAGTCTTGAGTGTTGCCTTTGCAGAACAGAGTTAAGAATCTAGAACTTTCAAGAGCTAAGGAGCCCAGATAGGAGCTGAAGAAAGACCAGACGGCCATGATGTGCCGATGGAGTGTGCACTACACAATACGGTCTCTCCCCAGGAGGCTCCCGGATTATCAGTGAAGGCAGCTAAATCCATACAGGCCTCCGCAGTGCCACTGGAATTGTGTTCCTGACGCAAGTCTGACCTGGGATCACACTCTCCTAGAAGACTTCTGTTGCCCATAGAGGAGCCCCCACAGTCTTCACTGCCCTTCATAACCTATCTCAGCTTTTCTTCTTTGACGCTCAGGACCGGCTATACACTTGCGCACTTCATATACTTCCTGTGGCTTGGTTTGGGTTCCCATCCCCTGTCCACTTTGCAGACTCCTGCATATCCCATAAAGCATCGTCTTTCTTTTGCTTTGTATGACTCTCCCAGGAAGAATTAGTTGTTTCTGCACGTGTCTTTCTTAGCTCTTTATTCACTTAGGTCTTGGTGGCACTTACTGCACTTTGAGAACTCATGTATTGGTGGTCTCTACTTGGCTATAACTTGAAGCAAGGACCACGTCTCAGTTATCTTTGTGACCCCTTCTCCAACCTACCAAGCACTGGGACTGACACAGACTGTGTGTCTAAAATAAATGGCACTGAAAAGGCCAGACTGCCTCAGCTGGAACAAGAGTCAAAAGTTGCAAATGCCAGTGGAAAGTATGCTCACACTTGAAGGTCTGTTTGCTCTGTGTCTGGAGAAGCCTGAGTCAGTTGGCATGAGAGCTGGGGTGACCAGGGTAGCTGGCTGTCTGGGGAGTTAATGAACATAGAATGGAAAAGCGATCAACTGTTGGACCATTGAGGGAGGTGCAGAACATATACAAAGTGATTCTTGAGGACACCTCTGCCTGGGAGTCTACTGCACACTGGGCAGCAAGATGTGTTTGGGGAACAGAAAACGTCTTATTGGACATGATGAAGGGAAAATGGCTCCCAGTGTTAAACATAGTGTTGACTTTGTGCAACCAGTTCTTTAACTATGCAAATGATGCCCCTAGCATGCAGCTGGCTATGTTCTCAAAACCTTAGTTGTCTTGCCCTACTATTAGAGATAAACATTCAACAATTAACTAATGATCAGCATTAATATGAGAGGGTAGACATTTTCCCATGTACGTGTTCAGAGAGCTCTCTTATTTACTCCCATTTAAGGAAATAGCATGCGCTTTAGTGGACACAATACCGGTCTGGCACAAATAATGCCCCTTGTTTAGTACAAAATCTTTTATTAGGAAACTGTAAGCATGTAATTCTATAACATAACAATACGCTGAGGCACATCATATGACATTTCATGTGAGATGTTCAAATTAAAACTATAAATGATTACACCAGTATTATTGTCCTGCCAACTACACTCAAGCAGGTGTTACTTCTGCTGGACCCTGTATATTACTTATTTTTAAAAATTAAGTGGAAAGAAGCTGGGATCTGAGTTTCTCCCCCTTTATTGGAAACTTGGACTAGAAAGATCCTCAGGAGAATACTTTCTTGAAAACAAACTAACCAAAACAGTAAATTTTCCTTAAAGCTGAGCTTAGTGCCTCATCTATGACTTAGTGCCTATCTTGTTCACAATGACAGGTTTTGCTACTACGTCAGAATATACTATTTGTCAGAAAATTGTCTACCCTTCCATTTTCTGATTTTTTAAAAAAATATTCAACTTCCCTTAAGAATTGGAAGCATCATTGAAGCATATTTGTAAATAATTTTTAAAGATTTTGTTTGTTTCTAGAGAAAGGGGGAAGGAGAGAGGAAGAGAGGGCGAGAACCATTAATGTGAGAGAGAAACATCGATCTGTTGTTTCTTCTCGTACACGCCCCAACCTGGGTTCAAACTGCAAACCCATCACACACCCTAACCAGGAATTGAACCTGCCACCCGCCCAACCAACTGAGCCACGTCAGTGGGGGCAATCAATAATTTTTTGCCACATGGTCTATAGGACAAAGCCACAAGGTCTATAGGACAAGCTAGTTAAACCAGCTTTATGAGCCCCAGGAATTCTTGTCACAGGCAGCAGGAAGTTACGAAGTGGCCACTGTCCCCCCTCACGGAGGTCACTTCAGACTCCTGAGAGCTTTTCCCTTCTCCCTCCTCACTGCAACTACCTCGCTTTTGCCTTCGCTCTGAGAAACACTGAGGCTGTAGAAAAAGAACTACAATTTCCTCAGTCCCAGTTTTCATTAAATTATGTGGATGCTTTTTATTTTCCTGGAAGTCTCATGTCTAATTCTCTACAGCATGGTCACTTACATAACAATCCATCATTGTTCTTGGGCCTTGTGTCCCCCTGGGTGGAGGAGGAGCAGGGGTGGTGTTCTGAACTCACAGTGACTTCCTCTGAGGAACGAATTGCCTCAGAGTGAATTAGGACATGCAACCCCCCGAGAGGCCACAAATAGAACCCCGAGCAGTGGTGAGGAAGGCGGGCTGCAATGCTGCAGTGCCCCAGAGGTGTTTCGATGCTTTCCCTGACTAGAAGGAAAGTAAAAGGACATTTCCTTGGCGAAAATTCAAATGTAAAGATTGTCCAAATAAATCAAATAGATAAGTGTCAAGAATTGCCTGGGCATTTTCCTCAGCTATGCACTACCACCATTAACAACAAAACTTTCTACTTCATGACCCTCACTATCTTTAATGAACATGATAAAAAGGCTGATCTTGTAGGGGACCTTAGCAGACATAAGAGGTTCCTAAGCTGCTCTGGGGTTCCAGTTTGGACATACTGGTCGTTTGTGTCTTACTTCTTTTTTGTGTGTATCCTCTGGCACCATTTCCAAAACATTACACTTGGTTAAGAGTTGTCTGTTGTCCCTGAGCCAGTGTGGCTCTGTTGGTTGGAGCATTGTCTCATAAACCAAAGTGTCATGGGTTCAGTCCCCAGTTGTAGTGCTTGCAAGAGGTAACCAGTCGATGTTTCTCTCCTTCTCTCTCTCCCTCCCTTCTCTCTCTAACATCAATAAGCATGTCCTTGGGTGAGGATTTACAAAGGGAGAGAAAGATGTCTGCTGAATGTAACAGGACATGGGTGATGGAGAGCCCAGCATAGTTACTAGTCTCCAAGGCAACAGAGTTGACTGCTATGTCCCAGACCCAGCATTTCTGCTTAGGGACCAGCGAGGTGAGTTCTGTAAAGGGCACAGAGGACACTCACAACAGAAGTGGAAGAGGCCTCACCTTCAGGGAACTTCAAGGGCAGGGCCTTTGGGGAGGGCAAGTGTGGGAGAACAGGAGAGCCATGTGAGATGCCCCAGAAGTAACTTGGAGAAACGTAGACCGTACAGGCAGAGGTATAGTCAAGTGAACTTGCTGTTATTACTGTTCGTGTGAACTCCAGGGGCTGGTGAGGCCTGGGGAAATTGAAGTAATATTTACTGTTTCAACATTATCATTTACTGCACTTTTACTAAGTGCCAGGCATTTTTCATGTACTTTTTTTTTTAGAAGAGACAGTATAGCACAGGAAAGTAGTCTGGGCAAAGAAAGCAGACTGCCCGGGTTGATTCAGATCCTAGCTCCATGTCTTACTGTGTGTCCTGGGACAGATGAAGTGGCTCCTCTCTCCAGACTTTGCTCATTTATAAAGTGAAGCTAGTGGAGGTAGTAACCTCATAGTTTTGTTGGGAGGGATAAAGGAAGTGATACATATAAAATGCTGAAACCAGTGTCTCCCAGAGAGTTAGCACTCTGTAAGAATTATCATCATTATTATCATCGTCACATTATTCTAGCAATCCCATTCCAGCATGGGGCACATGCTGTCCATATCTCCATT